TTACACCCAGGGACATAGTTTGTCCCTTTTTTTCGCAGAGGCATTGGGGGGAAAAATCTCATCAGATATCACAATTTCCTCTAAAACATTCCGCATGGCAACCAGGAACATAGTTTAAAAACAAAATAAGGATCCTAAGTCCCGCCCCCGCCCAATGTACAGTATACACCTCCCGGCCCGCCTCACAGAATATAAGAAAATATGACCATCACACGATACATTTCATGTTAAGTATTGTTTTCCATAGTTTTCTGAAAACTGTTAATTGCCATTGAGCCCTTAATTTTTTTTGTCATTTTTTTTTCTAAAAAGGTATATCTTCAAGAAAATCTGGCAGAGTACAGACACACGATAGGTGTGTGCGCACACACTTGCACACAAGGCAGTGGGAGAGCACAGCTGTGTAAGGCATTACTGTTAAAGCCGGTGTCCCCCGCACGCCTGATTTAGTTAAGCTGGTGAATCACGTTTCTTCCAAAAAATTGGAGGGACGACGCTGAATGCCTCACGAGAAAATTAAAAAACTGTAAAACCTCAAAAAGACACTCTCCCTCACCCCGTTCCTCTCCTCTTGATAGAATTGGCCTTCAGGCTTTTCTGTTTCTAAACCAGTACAGTACGTACAGTATTACAGGGAAAAGATAATGGACTTTTTAACTTGCCTTGTTTTTTTTTTGTTTTTTTTCCGTCAGACTGCATCATTCAATACTGCGAGCGTTAGTGTGTTTTCATCATAGATTACATTACACAGTCACGATATCCGTGGTACCAAAAGTGCAGTTCTCCACCCTCATCCTCTTCCTCATGAGCAGCATCTGAGCACACACACACACAGAAACACACACACACACACCGCTCTGTCTCTTCCCTGCCCCCTACAGTCCTGGTGCTCATCTCCCCTCAACCCTAACATTTATTTTGTCATTGCAGCAAAAGGTTCCACAAAGGGACCGAAATTCTCCAGCATTCACATCATCACTAAATAAAAAGGACAAACCTTTCCTCCCTCTCTGTCAGTACCACTTATTTTCTGATGCTTGCTATTGGAATTTATCTACCCATGTTTGTAATGTTCAAAGTACATGGGATGTTTATTTCCTATGTTCCTGTTTTTTTTTTTTTTTTTAAAGAATCATCACACTAGTTAAATAAACAATATGCCTGGGTCAGCTCTTTCTCTTTGTTCACCTCTGGAAACTTTTAAAAGCTAAACAATGCTGCAGAGTCAGCGCTTCCAAACCCTTGTCCACCTTCGCAGGGTTGAGATGACAGACACAGTAAGGGTAGAACCTGGAAGAGGTCTCCAGAGAGGCATTGCGGTGCAAAAAAGTCAGCTGACCAACAATGCCCATTTCCCCTATGTTGTGTTCTTGACAATTTCTGCATATGCTCAAGAGGCACATAGAGTTATTTCCTCCCAACAAAATCACCAAAACCAAGCGTCCGTCTCCGTAGCCTCCTCCCTGCGCCCTCCTCCAGGAGGTAAGTGACATCAATGGCTGTGAAGGGGGGAAAACCAAACAAGAAATGGAGAGAAGGAGGGAGAAAGAGTGAGAGAAATAAGGATTCTGGGTATTATTACCAGAAATTTGCAACATTCATGAAAAACATGTAAGACAGTTGAAAGTCCCCAAATCACCAGATGCAATCATGTCATTATGGGATGTTAATGGCAGGTCTGTGATTTCTGAATATTCCGACATGAAATTAAATGTTAAAATTGCATAATTGTATCATAAAACAATGTTATTTTATTTATCACTTCTGCCTCTCTTTTAAACTAAACAGCAATAGAAAATATTAAATTGAAAAAATGTCTTTACAAATTGAATTTTGGAAAATAACCCCTTAAAAACAACTATTCCACTGCTTGCAATAAACATAAAAACATCTACAACACCAAACAATACTGCAACTCAGGAGTATTACCACCCTTTTTTAGCTCATCTTTAACTAATATTAAATAAAAATCTGTGCTTCAGAGTTTGGTTCAATGATTCTTAAACCAAATTAACATCTAGTAATGATGTGACAACATCCACAGTGACAGGGAACCGAAAATTCTTTACATCTATAAATTCATGTCTTTGTTGACCTACCCCCCTGCTTTGTTCCCGGTGCCTCACCATTCTTGTTGGGAGTTCTGTGCAGCAGGTCCAGCAGGATTTTGTTGAGGCGCTCCCTCTGCGCCTCCCTCCTGCCCAAGGCTGGGTGATGTAACGGTGAGGATGCGGAGGATGAAGGCAGTTCCAGCATCTCGCCGATCCTCTCTGTGGAATCTGCTTCCATTTCTTTGTGCCCTTCAGCTTCCTGGGCTTCCTCTTCCTCGTCGTCTTCCTCCTCATCTTCCTGCTCAGTTCTTTTAGGCTTTGCTGCAAGAAGTCGAGGGTCCTCCTGCGCCACCTCCATGTCATCCTCTGCTCCCCTCTCCTCCTCCGCCTCAGGTGGAAAGTCGTCACCTCTGTCGCATGAAGAGACGTCATCCTCGCCTCCGGGGCCTTTTGGTCGTTCACTCTTCCAGGCAGAGCGACCTCCATTCCTCTTGTAGTTGTCAGGAACATAATGTGGCTGCACACAGGTCAAAGTCAGACAGCAATGGTTTGTACAGGTTTGTGGAGTAGAGACTGATTTCATTTAAACAAATGATTTGAAAGAGGACAATAGAAAGAATCAATCTGTTAAGACCTTTCTAACAGTGACAGTACTGCAGGCAGTCCGATCTTATAAGGTTCAATGTCTTAACATCATGAACAGCTGTATCACAGAAAAGCCCTTCATTACTCTCACCGAGAAGTCTCTTTTAGGTGTGAGACGTTTGGGGAAATGGTTAAAGGCATATGGCTTGGTGCAGACTGGATAGCGGTTACGATGGATCTTGTAAAAGAGATGAGCCGACTTGTCCAGGCGATAATCACAGATGTAAACATCCTGCTCTTTTACACCCTTCGGTCGTCCTGTGGTGAGAAATGCATATCAACACTGGACTTCTCTGCATTGTAATTACGCAGCCTCAAAAAAAAAGAAAAAAAATTAAGTAGCTATTGCATAATAAATCTACCTTTGCAGTAGGTGTAGAGATCCATTGCATAATAGTTCTACCTTTGCAGTAGGTGTAGAGATCCAAAACACAGCAGGTTGCCACGACTGCCTCCAGGGGGATGATCTCGTAGAGAGGCATGCGGAACAACTCGTTCTGGTAGAACCGCCTTGATGGAGAATGATGTGTCTCATGGGGACGGAAGTAATGATGGCCAAAGGCGAACCTCTCGCCCCTTTAGAGTTAGAAAGCAGGATTTTAGACACTAAAATAAATGGTCAAACACCCCTCAAAGAAAGCAGGTATGTGTTTGTTTGTTTTTTCTTGCAGCTGGATACACCTAGTCTCTTTCAGTTAAACTTACTTTTCATTTTTCCAGAGTTTCTCGATTCTGAAGATGTCCAGTTTGTCTCGGTTTATGTGGGACAGGAGACGGTAGGACTGTCTGACAGGTTGTCCCTCCGATGTGCGCCTGCTGTCTCTCATCAGGTAGACACAGTCACCTGCACAACAGATACACAGTTAAACTTGTCTACAATGATACATTTCACAAAAAGTGACTGTCCTACACCAAGGTGTACCATCACAGATAGTAGTTAAAAAATAAGGTCTTTGTAAATAATAATAAATTACCACCAGATATGGTCCTGAATCTGTTTAAGCCCTTGTTTTTAAAGCTAAGTGTAAATCTAATGTAAGTATACCCTACATTACATTTCAATGCCTTATGGTTTGGCTGTTTGTAAGCAAGCAAATGTTCTTCAAGAGAAATAAATAATTTTTAAGAATTATATTTTAGGTTCTGAGGGTCCAAAACTAGTGTTGTTTCTATACCTTGGTGAAGCAGCAGTTCATCTCTCAGGAGGCAGATGTAGTAGATTGATCCAGCCTGAGCATAGCTGGGCTGGGGTACCATAGGAACTTCCTGTAGTGACAGTAAAACATGGAAGTACGATTTAAACATGTTCTTGAAATATTTAGTCCATAAATGGTCAAGGTTTATTGTTCTTCAGTCTCTACAGCTGTTTAGGACGGGGTCAGACGTACGCTGTCTACAGGCCGAGGCTCACACTGCTCACACAGGTAGTGCTCTGCCTCCGTCTCAAGTCGCATGCAGTCGAAGTGCTGCCATACCTACAATGACAAAAACATGTTGAGGTCTGTGCAGATTATGAAACAGAAGGCAGATGTGATTCTCACATTTGGAACTCGCCGAATAACTGCTGAATAAATATTTAAATAAGAATTCACAAACACAGATACGTTATCTACATGTTTTTTTGTCAATCGATTAAAAAACAAACAAAAAAACAACTTTGTTTCATACCATGCACTTTTCACACTGGATCATCAGGCCTTCGTCTTTGTACATCCCACAGATGCAACGGATGACATCATCGTCCTTGTCATGGGACCCTGCGCTTCCATGGTGGTGACCATGGTCTCTCTCTAGTGAGTCTGAGCTGTCTGCCTCACTAGCCGTCTCGCCCACGATCTCATCAATCTGGACAGCAGCTTCATTACGAGCGCTGTAGTAAGCCTTGCGTAAACGGCACACGTCTCTGCCCACCGATGACTTCCTTCCGTAATATTTCTGTGTAGAAAACAGTGTTGTTGTAAATGTAGCAGTGCCAAACTGAATAAATGTTGAGGAACTAATCCTCATGACAACAAAACCTTACAGTGAGAAAAATATAAATCATGTTCTGAGAAATGTGTGTTTGATCTCAGGATTGGAGGCTCTGATTGTCCAGGCTCTGGACAATCAGCGGAGGCACAAAGTTCCATGACACAAAAAGAAGCATCATCTCCATAGATGCCCAAATTTCACTCACAAAGCCACACTCTCCATCTCTTAATAAAGCACTCACACGTTACTCAGTTTGCCACAAGGGTCCGTAGGGCCAGGAGGTCAATCTAATTCAGATAACAGCTTCAAACTTCTTTGACTAAAGAACTAGAACTAAGTGTCTCTGAGAAGTTTGGAGAGGAATTTGTTTAAAGTGCTATGCTATACAGATGTAAATCAAGGGGAACTGCAATGTGCCCATGGAGGACCAGGCATTGTGTAGTAACAGCCCATTAGGTAGGCTGTAGAGTGTGTGAGTGTAAGAGAGAGAAGGAAGCACAGAGGGAGTGGGAGGAAAATGTGTTGTAGCTGCACAGTAACATCTTAGATTATCATTCTAATGAGCCTCGTTGATATGGATTGGTCTCTACATGTCTGAGATCATAGTGACGAATCAGCAACACTGGAGTATGGAGTCTGCAGATCTAAACATTACATGAATGTTTACAGTAATTAGTAGAACAAATGCTAACCATACTGATCTAACAGGATTATTTTAATGACACCAGTGTTAATTGACGAAAATCAGCTATTTGACTATTTCTCATCATGTTCTTTGTTCCTGTGCAGTTCTGAAAATGACAGAACATAATCCATGTTGTAAAGGAGAGGTGAATAATAGGTGCAAACTATTTTCCTTCCTATCCAGAACCGAACCTTCAACTAATGAAATATTGGGTCTGACTTACCTCAGCATTGCGGAAAACTTTGAGCATGTCTGCGTCAAACGCTTCAACGGTCTTGTAGTGACCCGTGAGGATCTGCTTCTCGATGGTGCTCAGGTCGAGAGGGTCGGACACTTTCTCATAATACTGACTATTCCTGGTGGAACACAAATACAAAGGGTTGAGTCCCACGGAATCTGACTCTTAACAAAATAACATAAACATAAAAAGGCTGTGATTGTTTTTATACAAAAGTGATTAAATCAGCGCTGCACAAGGATCACCACAAGTCTGTCATGGTTCATATCTTAAGAAAATAAACCAAGTGTCGCTCTATGTGGGTGATGTAAACTGATACACTAGATAACACCCTGCTGTCTGGAAGACAGTGTGACATTATGAATGAACCTGTGGATATGCAGGTCTGCACTCTTACCTCTTTCGAGACGGAAGGTTCACCAGTGGAGCAGCAAGTGTCTGACCAGAGGAATCTGTGAAGTAAAATTATTTACATTTTTACATGGTAAATGTTGAACTGTATGATTAAAAATTTGATATTGCATTGTAAAGTGTATTAAAATCTCAGCATCCCATCACAAGATGGAACACTGAGTACGCAAGCACTACCCAAAACCTAAACGTAAAAACTTCTGCGCAGCATTGTTGTGTACCAGTGTTTATACAAACTCACCCTTATAGCTGGTGATCATGTCACAGATCTCTTTGAAGATGTGTGCGAGGCGAGCTGTGCGTGTGACTTCTGTGTTTTCCTCTGCAGCAGCCAGTCTCCGTGTGCGAACTGACCTCGATGTCTGGAGGGCTGAGAACTGGGTGAGGAAAACATCTGTAAAACCAGGAGAGAATGTTAAGAGATGTGTTGAATTATGACAATACACAGTATATACTTTAACAGGCTTTACAATCCCATAAGCACCAACACTCACCTGATTTAATGTTGCCATCATCACGTATGACGCCTCCCCAGCGTGTATAAATGGACAGGCTGCTACTGTCCCTCTCTCGCTCGCCCTCCCTCTTCAGCAGCTCCTGTTTTTCCCTCATCTTCTCCCAGTTCCTCAGGAGAAAGACACGGTGCTTCAACACAAAGTTTCTGGCGATCGAGGGAGTGGAGAGAAATGTGAAAATGGTTTTCACCTGAAGGCATGAAATTTGCTGGTGGAAGTTACGATGGACAATTAATCATATTGGTTTGATTTTGAAGTAAAAAGAAAACATAAAATCCTGCTGCTTAGCTCCATGTTTATAGAGTATTTTAAGTATATCCCAATCCTTTGATAATTACTGCTTATACCAACACTTCTATAGTTATAATTATTAGGTATGATGCATTGAAAATGCATCATGACTGAGAAAACGACAAATGGACAAAACAAAACAAAAGAAAGTAACCAATTTAGACTGAACATAAAAATTACACGTAATATCAACAAATATAAGTAAAGTGATGGACTCCTGTGACTATCATCAATCCAGCTCAACCATATATCCCATGAAAACATGATCTTTGTATTTTATTTTAAATTGCTTATGTTATTGTTCATTATTACAAAATGAAATTCAGAATCTTCAAACACATGTGGACATATCTTATTAAGTTGTGTTATTATTCTACCCAACAACTAACTTCCCTAAAAAGTATTACAATCAGCACAATCCAATTTCATAACTCAAAAGTAAGTAGCAAGAGTATCTGCTCATGTGTGTTTACCTCTCTCGGTTGGACATGGGCTTCATGAGATGAGGGTAAAACTTGTTGCTGTCACTGGACTCTTCCTCCTAAAAACATTAACATTAAAACTTGCATAAGTATAAATATAAGTATTTATATTTTCCCAGTTTTCCTTTATCAACAACTCCTACTTAAACCCAGCCTCTATGTCCCTCAATAACCTTTTTCAAAATAGGATCTGAAGTAAAAATTTTAGGTCATGTAAACGGGTCCATTTTCAGAGGACACTCTTTAAGGTTTCTGAGTTACTTTTTTAAGATCACCCTGGTGTTCACTTCAAGCACCTCTGAGACTCAGACTCATTCACTGGCCTACATACAGTGGATTCTACACTTGAAAATGAAAAGCCAGGCTTTGACAATCAGTAACAGATTGTTGAAGTAGCTCATTTGAAGACATGATTTGATAAGTTTGCAACAGTTTTTCAAAATTTTTTTCAAAAAACTCACTCTTTTCTTTAGCTGGTGTATTTAAAACTCACTCTTTTCTTTAGCTGGTGTTTGGATTTCCTCTTTTCCTTCAGTCGACCCAGCCGCCGGGCCCCTCCATTCTTTCCTGGCAGGCCATTAATACGCTGGCTCTTCCCTCCAATGATGCCTCGGCAGCTCTCTGAGCCACACATGCACACTTGCTGTAGGTAGAAAAAGGTATGAGTCTAAACTTAAAGCAGCTGTTATCATACTGTAGCTGTGATCTTAGTGTTATCGCACAGAGGTCAAAATAATGTGTTGGTGCTTCACCTGCTCCTCTGTGTTGAAGGAGTGGAAGTTGTAGTCGTAGGTGAGCTCAGTGCCACTGCTGATGTCCTTGAGAGCAAACAGACCAATTCTGTACACCCCATTAACTGACCTATAGAGGACAAGGAGCAGTTCAGTCTAGTTAAGGCAGTGTTTAGCCAACGCTCATCTAACCACAGCAAGCTGCCACATTAACATCACCAAATGCCAAAGTTTCAATTTCACACAAGTGATCTGACAAAACTGTTTTTGTTTAAACACAGTTCAAGAGCCGTTTCTTCTGTTGAATTTCAGTTATGCGGTCATTTCTGAGAGAGAAAATGTTACACAACAGTCTTTTTTTAAAGTGTGAAAAATAGAGCCATTTGAATTGTTTACTAAGTTTGGTGACAAGTCGACACACTGGGATCTTTTTTTATCCTTCTCAAAGGAAGGCGGTGCTCTGTGGTTTCACCTTTCTTCTAAGAATAAAGTGAATACGTTCTTTTTGCCAGCCACATCATTATTTATTCCTCCTGTTTAAGTAAAAAGCTGGTTCAGCGCATTGTCTTCAAGCGCTACAGCTGTATCTAAGGCCCGGCTGCATGTAATCTCTCTCCTGTGACAAGATGGATGACTTGTCAGGCTTCTTACTGAAAAACTCCTCCATCCTTTTATTTCAGTTTAGGCACAATCCGTGACACACACACACACACAGACACACACACCAGTGTCCTAGATTATAAGATGATCCATGCTGAAGGGCAGAGGGTACAATGGTTGACTCTCTCAAGGTCAGTCTTAGCAGTCTACGTTCATTGGTGCCCAACGCTAGAGAAATTAAGCTGTTATTACATTGTGTGTTTAGACTCAGAGAAGCCAGTTCAGCCTGGTTTTTTTAATTGTAGAGGATTTAACTGTGATGTGAGATCGATCCCTGAGGAAACTAGTGAATTGTTTTGGCGTAGTGCGAGGCCTTTAAGCCATTTATGTCTGTGAACAGTGGCAGAGTGTGACTGAGGTGATATCATCAGATTACCACCACAAAACCACATTAATAAGGTTAGTGTTTCCAGGCACTGCTGCCTCGTAAACAATGAAGTGCACCTGCTACATGTGTCTCCTGTGGCACTGATGGCAGCTATCCAAACACAGACAGCAGACAATGTATATGAAGCTACTCGACTGTTTAACAGTTGTTTTTAGAACGGAACTGTTGAACTGTTTTTCAAAGTTATTTAACTCTAAAATTGTTAATCATTCAAAGAAAGCACACAGATGTGTTTATAATAGTTACTTCAACCTCAATTCTTAAACATCATCAGTAGTCCTGAGGATTATAAACAAATATGACAATGTTTGTTACTTGAATGACCTATTTATACTGAGTTTTGAGTTATACTGCAGAAAAAGTTGTTGTTCTAGTGGTAATTTATGTTTTTTATATTTTCTGCGACTACTCCTTACTGTTATCGCACACTTAATAATAAACAAAAGTGTTTAAACCCACCGGGCAAAGCTTGGTTGATCAGTAATGGTCTGAGGGTATTGTAGCTAATAGGTTTAAGACCATATGTAACTCCCTCCCCCTTTGACATAAGAAGACCACTGCAGTAGGCTTTCTGTGTCTTGTTACTCTACTCAACAGCACTGAAATGCTAATGCAGATCTATGTCTGAGAGGGCTCCATCTAATCTGGGTTTTGTTAAGATCCCATAAGCACCACAAGTTATCTTAAAAATAGAACCAGTTTAGGGCTGAACTGACACTCACCACTTCTGCATCTCACAGTTGGGTTCACAGCTGTGGTTTATGAAGCGTGCCTCATTGCCCATTCGGTAGCTGTCAATCACCATACCACTATCCAGATTCAGACAGTACTGGCCACTGTGGGAGAAGTACTGCTCCATCATGCGGCTCCTAAATCAAGACAGAAGCAAAGCAAAGAAAGATTGAAAACAGATTTTTATCCTTTTGTGTGAAAACCACAAGCACAGGACCAGAATGTGCCAACATCCATAAACATTTTGGGATATGTCTATGTTTTGACGAGAACCTCTCACAAACGTATCCCACCTGAACTCCTGCTCACTAACAACCTCTCCCAGGTACTCGATGATAAACTGCCCAGAGCGGAGGGTTTCCTTGGTGCGGATGCCCCAGCCTTTTCCTTCAGTACGGAACCGCTCCAGACACTGTACCCACTCATGTCTCTGGATATGCTGGTTATCACACGTCTCGGCGCATGGACATGTACTGGGAGAACACTCGGCAAAGCTCATCCTAGAAAAAACAAATGATGTAAACATTTGTCTCTTACACAGTTTTTGTCCTTTACCGTCGTAGAATTGTTTTTTAGAATTCTACCTGTTTAGACAGTCATCCAGACAGCCCTTTTCAGGCGTGTTGTCAGAAGGTCTACAGTTGCATGTGGTTGTTTCATAACCAGACAGAGGCTTGACGTCCACATAGACATCTAAGAAAAAACAAAAAATTAATATTTTCTATTTACCTATTGGAATAAAGAAAGTGCTTACAAAGACAATTACATGGAGGTAAAATAACTGGATCTAGGTAAGTACTCACTTGACCTGATCTTTTTATAAAGGGGAACATCAGGCCTCTTGTGAAGCTAAAACACAAAATGAGAAAATGAATGGAGGAAGGTTTGATTACAAAAAATACAATTAAATATTTTATTTATGTTTCATATACTACTGAAAACAATTGAATGGTCAGTTGAATGAATCACCTGATCATGTTTCCACAACCACAAGATGTCATAAGGCAACTGGAAATCAATGCGCTTCATTCGCAGATATTTCCCTGTGAAAAAATAAACAAAAATTGTTTGAAAGAAAGTACCACTTGATGTTTTAATACTGAAAACATAGGTCTTTAAGGTACTCAAAATTTTTGATTTGAAAAGATTTTATTCATCAATTGAAAGTCTACTATAACATAAGTAGACCGATGTCGTCATGTCAGGTTCAGTCTGTGTTTTAAATGAGATACCTTGTGGAAAACTTACCAACGTGTATCGGAGCTGGAAACAGTCCATACTCATGTTCCCCAGGTATGTATTCCAGCTTCTCTTTCTTCAGCTGCAACAGTTGACTTTTGGGACTTTGGTGTTTGAAGAAAGATTAAAAATGTAAATAATGTGAAAAGAATGTGATCCAAAGGTTGCTTTGAGATATTTTGTGTAATGTTTCTTGGCACTCACTCTTCAGTCTTGTACACATCTGAGTACAGTCCCGCCTTCTGGAACTTCTTCTTTGGGGGCCTGGCTGCTCTCTTCTCCCGTTGGCTCGTTATGGAAATGGGAGGAGCTTGTTCCCTGGAGACAGTGCCTGGGCGTTCTGGTGAGCAGTGGCCATCTGGCTTGCTTTCCATTGATCTAAAAATAGAAGCATGACTTGTTTCCAGTGATGATTGTACTTAATAAATGTTAATATATATATATATATACACACACCAGCATTACATACTTGGAACAGTACATGCTGTATATCTTGGCCTAGGCCCCAAAGCTGGGACTTTTAGTAGTAAAAGTCATCCTGCAACATTACTGTTTTCTTACCCACGAAAGTGCTGAAGCTCCTCCTGAGTAAGCCAGACTCTCCCTGTCCCGGTTGTGGACCGTGCCATGAGGTCACCCAGGTTCTCCTCACTGTTTGGCAGTGGGTCCTCAGACTCTTGAACCTCCCCGTCCTCTTCTTCTTCTTCCTCATCTCCATTTCTCTCCCAGTGCTTTCTCTTCTGGCCTTTCCTACGCTGCCCTTGGACGACTGACTCAATGGCATCTGTCACAGTATCCCCATCCCAAACACTGTCCCCCGCAGGCTGTTCAAGCACTCTGTCTCTGTGCCGGGCCTGAGTCACCTCTACGACAGGGGTTGGGGAAGGGGGTGGAGAGGGTAAAGGGTGTTTCCTGGGACGCCCGGGGCCCCTCTTTTTTACCACATTGTTTCCTGTACGGGCCTGTCTCTGCAGTTTCTTGGCACGTAAGATTTTGTTGACGTGGTGCAGGCTGTGTTTGGATGGCTGTGCCCGATGGGAGTGGTGAGGCAGGGAGGCACCCAGACAATAATCCTGAGCAGGAGAAAGGCAGGAGGAGGAGGAAGTAGAGCCATGTGGATAAAACAGAGAAGTCTGGTGATGATGCTGCTGCCTGTGTTGCAGGGATCCTTCGGGCCCATCAGAAGTCGAGAGGGCAGCACCCTTTGACTGAACACTTGTTGACCCTGGACAAGAAGCATAACAAATAAACGTTACACATGAAAACCCAATTCCAAAACTTCAGAAATTTGTCTAAGACAATCAGACCAGTTGGGCCCCTTCACAGTGGGCCAAAATTAAAAACAGGGACGAAGTTGTGTGGCAACCTTAATATTTACTGAAAAATTGATGGCAATTGTGCATCTAGTTCTATTAATTCTATAGGTATCCAATTATAGCACCAGAAGGTGCAGCTATGCAAAGTCAGTAATGTGAACTCCTACTAAGACGGTTAAACACAAGAGAGCAGCCAGCGCTCCAGGTTCATTCCTGTAAATTAGAGGCAGTAACGCACAGACTTTTAAAAAAAAAATTAACCTCCTTTAACTCTAAAGCTAAAAGCTAAGCCAAAATCTGGATACCATAGTCACTTTATCGAAAATGCAGAAGTAGGGGTAAATCAGGGGAACCAGCAGTAAAGACTAGCTTTACATCACAATCAAACACTGTCCCCAATTGTCTGAAATATGTGGCCCATATTAAGAATTATGAGAGTACACAGAGTACATCATGTCTCACTTTTAGCTGATGATTTTACCCAACAAATTTCTATAAATCCATCATTTTCTCCTTTTTGTACATTCACCATTGTTTTCCACCACTCTGCTCTATTTGGCCTTGTTTGCCTCTCCATCTTTCTTTCTTCTAATCACTGAAATTGTTCTCCTGTGTCTCATCATCCTGACCTTCAACATCTCTCTTCCTGTTCCTGATGCTCAAATTAGAAAAGTTTTATTTATATATTTCTGAAGGTATCTCTCATCACATGAAATCTCACCCAGTAAGAACATTGTCCACCTTCTCTTCTACACTTTATTTAGCAGAAAATAAACAGCATGTTACATTGGTATAACAAGACAACATTCGTAATTCAAAAGCCGTTTTATTCAACTGCAAAGGGTTTATTCTTATCTGTGTGGATGTTCTATTTATGTCACACTTTATCTGTGATCTGCATTACATTACTGCACTCCCATCATCATCCTTTTTCATTCCACACATGCCTTTTTTTTTCTTATTACATCTGGTCCATCTTTATGTCAAGGACATTGTCTTGCCTCCAAATTAGCCTTTTAGGTTGTTCCTTACTTAGTCCCATTCATATTAAAGCTATGTAAATAAACATTAGGTAATGCTCACATGAAAGCAGTGATCTGCTCTACAGTCTCAGGGTGGAGCAGATGTAGCAAAACCAACAACACACGACAACAACAGTTAAACCCAGGTGCTGGGAAATCTGGAGGGTAGAACAAGGAAGGCCTCAGATGGTGGACTTTGAGGCAAATGTCGACTAAATATAGCAACTTAACAAAACACTCCACCCCTGCAGTAAGATGAGCTCCAAGAGAAATTCTATATCAGCTGTGGCTTACAGTGGCCTTCTACACTTAGAATGGAGCCCGTTGAAAACACTGTACATGTTTTTCTTTTTGCATAGCCTGTAACCACTGGTAACAGCTACCAAATGTCAGACAGCATATGCATAGAGCAAATCAGTGATGTTCAAAGGGACTTCCTTTCACTCAAATACCACTTAGTACTTTGTAGGTTCCGATGCGGACTACAGAGACAGAAATGATGATATTCCAGTGCCGTTTGATCCAACCACAACTGAGGTAGGGATGGTTTCAGTGGTTACCACACAATTTCTTAATTCTGTGAAGAATTTCACTTCATTTGAGTTTACTGAAAAAAGATCAGTCGTGTGCAATTCCAAAGTAACTGAAAAAAGTTATTTAAAACATTAGCAGTGAATTTTCTTTTCCAAATACACTAGAGCTTCACCAGAGCTTAGAAAAAATCAAACATTAGTCATTTTTACAGAGCCACATTCCTTTAAAACCATCTTCAACAACAAAATACAACTTGAAAGTCACAATGGTGCACAATTGACTCCAAATAAATACAATATATACATAAATGTAGTTGCCCTGATCCAGATTTATTTTTTATTGAATCTGAGCCAATCTTTTAAAGGAGCTAGGAAAATGAAAATGTGCAGCCTTTTCTGTGTCTACGCACAAACAGTGTTTAGTATGAACAAATCACATGTTGGATATGTCATCAGTAAAAACAATAAAGCACACATCCCTGCTATATTTTTAGACAATTTACTGAATTGGAGAACAAGCATAGTATGCATTTCAGCATCTTGTTAAAATTGGAAGATTTACTTTGGTTAACAAAGTAATTTTTATGACGACACATACTGATACTAAAACTTTTAAATTACCAAAATTTACCTACCCATGTCTCTCCTTTCTGCTGATGTTGATCGGTCTTTGCTCTTCGGTCTATCCATGTTGGAGAAGCCAGAACACTCTGCCTCAGTCTTTCTGTTTCTGCTCCCCTTTAGTGCAGTACGAGTGAGAGCAGAGGCAAAGAGATTGGTAAGGTTTGGGGAGTTGTGGCCTCCAGGTTCTCCCTCCTCCGTAGGTGTGAGAGGTTCCTCATCCTCACTGTCTGTGCAAGCAGCTGGGTTTTCAGTCCGTCCATCTGAGAAGGGACCTTGGCCAGACAACACATGACTCCTAGAGAGTTTAGGGTATTCTGCCTCAGAGTTTCCCATCCTAAACCAGGACTCTATTGGGTGATGGCCTTTTGAGCTATTTCCCACTGCAAGCCTGGAGGGACCAAGGCAGGACAGTGAGCTCTCTTTGCGCTTGCACCTTTCTGCAGATGAAGTTGAGGATGAAGAAGGGGAATTAGCAGAACCAGGCTGCTTGCTAGTACTAGTGCTGGAGGCATCTCTTCCAAAGCGACATCTTTGTAAAGACTCAGCCATTCCCATGCTGCTCACTCGCTCACCTTTCCCTGATGTTCTGCTATCAGACATCCCTGCATTAGATCTGCTTCCTGATCCACTTCTTGCTCCTTCCTCCCTGTCATCATCAGCACAGCGCTCCCTGTGTTTGTGTCTGTGTTTGTGTTTATGATGCCAGTTAAAGGAGAGCTCAGAGGACATGGGTGGGTAAAGGACAGGGGCTCTTCCTCCTCCAAGAAACTCCTGCCTGAGTAGCTTATGCTTTTTCTTGTGAAATTTAGAGGGGTTCAGCAAGAGATGTGACGGATGATGATGCACATAGGAAGTTGGGGGAGGAGGAGGGAAGGTTGGTGAGTGATGAGAGTGGTGAGATGAGGCTGTGTGGGGTGACTGATGGTGTGGATGGGGATACAGTGCACTGGCTGTAGGATAGCCTCTATAATAGCCTAAACCCAGGGGTCCTGAGGAGTAAGGAACACTGTATGAGGGGTGGTAAAAGCCCCCACTTGAAAGTGGGAACCCAAGCCCAGGTACAAAGGGGACGTCTGACATAGAATCCCTCAGTTTGGGAGGCCTTCCCCGTTTTTTCTTTAAATCTGGCTTGCGAACATAGTGCAATGGGTCACAATGGGAGTATGCAGGATGGGAGTAATAGCTGCCAAAGTTAACTCTGAAAATTGTAGGCAGGAGGTCCCTGTGGACATAATGATGTGGAGGAGGGCCACCTGCGCCTCCTATGCCAGAACTGGCCCTGCTCCCCACCCCTTGTATTCTACTTGTTCCTGCTCCTATGCCAACAACACTACCAAGTCGGTGCCCTGTTGTACGGTGTGTTATACGTACTTCACTCAGTCTTACAACAATCTCATCCAGCTCCGCAAGAAAATCAGGGTCTAGCCGACGGGAGCGTAGTTGCAGGTACTTCTTCTTTCGTTTCCTTTTCTGTCTTTTAAGTTTGTCATAACCAGGGCATCCATGGCTGCGGCGTTTACACTTGTGCTTATGCTTTTCTTTGTGTCCTATTAACGACGAGGCAGGGGCTGCTGGGTGAGGTCTCCGGGGATCAGGCGGTGTCCTTGTCCCATGAGGTGATGGAGAGGGTGAGGGGCGTTCCATAAGCACAGCAGAGTGTCTTCGCCTGCCTCTAGAATTAAGGCCTGGACCCATAGATGATCCCATGACCCCAGGCATTAGTATCCCACTGCCAATTCCTGGTGGTATTCCAATTGCACCTAAGCCACCCACTCCACCAGCTTTCTCACCACGGTCAGAAGTGCTGTTATTATCTGTTCCAATACCACTGTCACTGGGCACTGTCTCCTCACTGTGTGACTCACTGACTGGTGATGGAGTGGCTTCTTTGAGCTCACTGAGGGGGGCCGGGGAAGTGGGATGAAGTGGCCTGGGAGGGGAAAGTTTATGATAGTGAAAGTGCTGTCTGTAATGGTGGTGATGATGATGGTATCCACGGCAAGATGACTTCTTCTGGGAAGCTGCTGTAGTCATGGATGATGATGTCATACCTAACCCTGTGTTGCGGGGATTAGGAGCTGAAAAGGTTGGGGGTGGAAAAGAGAATGTGTTGTGGTTATGATGAGAGTTGGAATAGTGAGAATGACCCACAAAGTGCACTGAGCTTGGCTCAACAAAGCTGGCATCACTAATGGGACTGTGGCCTCCACTTGACTGTGAAAGGGACGGGGAGGGAAAGACTTCTGAAGAGGAGAACTGATGGTGTTGATGGGATTGCTGGTGGTGATGATGAGGGGAATTGGTGTTTGGAGATAAGAATGGTTCTGATGGTGATGTCGCTGTGGAATTACTTGATGTTTTTGGTTTACGGCCCCTCCTTTTACCCATATAAATTGTCCCTTTTTTGCTGACGTTAATTTGTGACCCCAATTTCCCCCCAAATGAAGCAGCTAAGGAGGATAATTGGCTAGTGGCTTCCACAGAGCCAGCCACTCCACTTGAATTGCATTTTGGGGTGTCCTCTGGTCTTGGGCCTAACAAGATTTGACTGAGAATGCGTTTCCTTTTCACACTTTTCATTTTGTTGATTTTACCTATAATAGTTTTCATGATAAGCTGCCCATTTCCTTTACTGCAGAAACGTTTGTCTCCCATCTCTCCTGCCTCTGGAGCCAATGTGGGAGGTTGACCTTCCTGGGGTAAGGTAGGGGGAAGGCGCTTTGGGCGTCCTCGTTTTCTAGGCATTGGTTTAGGAGGGTTAAAATCTACCTCTGGGTGAAGGACAGGTGGGTCCTGCTCTTCTTTGGACTTGAGAAAAGAAGAGAAGACCTTAGAAGGGACCAGCTTATTTGGTGGTTGCCCATGAGCAGGGGCATGAAGTGTTGGCATTTTGGACTTTGGCCTTCCCCTTTTTTTAAGCTGCAGTGGGAAAAGCTGTGACACTTGACTTTGTGGCACAGAATGGTTGGTTGGTTTAACTTTATTTGGGTTAGGAGGCCTACCCACTGGTCTTTTCACATGTGGCAAATGTATTTCTGAGCTTGACGATATAGACATGGTGGTTCTGCTCTGGTCAAAAGGACTGTTCTGGTCTCTTTTTTGACTCTCTGTGTTGTTAAAAATTCGGTTCCAGCGTGGCTTCCTTCCTCTGCGTTTTTTCAGAGGTTTCCTGTCTTGCTCAGCTGGGGAATCAATAGATGAATCCGGAGAATCATCTCTGTAAGGTGTATGTGGACGACTGTCCTCATCCTCTGGCTCCGGGGGAGAAGGTGCCCTTTGTCTAACTGACTCTGGAGGGCTCAAAGTACGACCGGGTCGATTACTTTCTCGGTTCGGGCTTCGCTTGCTTGGACTAGAGCTCTTTCCCCTTTCAATTCGCATTGAATGATAATGACCTCCTTTGTCTTTTCCTTCTAACTTTCCCATTCCCGTTAGGTGAGGGCATTTTGTTAAGTCTCTGGGGATGTCCCTGTCTTGCTCCTTTTCGCTTTCACTGCTTTCCTCAGCAAGAGCAGAACTTTCTGCTGCATGGTATCCATGTGAGGGAGAACCCAGGTGACTCACTACACTTGTCCTCTGCTCAATTGAACTGGTGCTAAAGGATGGACATGAGGACAAGTTTCCATTGTTGGGTTGACTGTGAGCAGGACGTGAATGTGGCTTAGAAATGCTACTGTTCTCATTGGTGCTATCTTTTGACAACGGTGACAAGCGGTTACTGACAAAAGTGAGTGCTGGGCTGCTGCTACGACTACTGGTGATGGTGCTATTCATATTGATGCTGTTGCTGAAGGTAACACTGTTGTTGCTTGTTTTTCCACTCACATCTGCATCCTCTTTTCTCAGTGGTGTCAAGCTGGGTGAACTGTCCATAACACTGTCTTTGTTTCTGGAACCATAGGGCCGACCAGGTGGTCGTGATACAGGAGGAGGTGGAGAAAGGTGGACAATCCTTGAGTATGTGTTCCTATTGGCCAAAGCCCTGTCACGCTGTTTGGCTGTTGGGGCCATAAAGCCTGGGCTTGGGGGTGAAGGGGCTGGTTCAATCTTTGTGGGTTTGGCTGGCTTTAAGGTTTTTGATGGTGGGCATGTTGCTATGAGTTGAGCTAACTTCTCTGTGACTGTAGGCGTTCCCCAGTTCTGGACACCTTTGTCTTTGTCTCTCTGATTTTCAGTGCTGTAGGTGTACTGAGGGGGTTTAACACCTTCAAAGCTTGGTTCTATTGATGCAGGTTGTGGTGGAGAAGGTGAGGATGTCCTTGGGTTGAGTTGTGGAGTCAGTGCTTTCTTCCCAGAGGAATGTGTTTTACTGTCTAGAGGAGGGCGGTGAAGGTTAAGGGGTCTCTCAGAATTGGTGGCTGCGGCTTTTGTGTCTGGCTTTGTGTCAGACTTGCAGTCAATCTTTGGTGGACCCTGCAAAACATGGCAACAAAATATAATATAATTATAATATCCAAGTAATAACTAATCAATCGGCATTAAATTCATAAAGTCATCTTAAAGTGTGCTTTAGCATTTGCACGCTCTATACATTATCTAATATAATAAAATCATAACCTTTAAATCATTGAGATTTAAATATAACATTTAAGAAAAAAGTAAACCTACGATATCAATACACATATTTATGCTAATTTGAATTTCTTAATGACAGTCTGTCCAGCATGGGGGAAGGGGCTGTAGCACTCAACTAACATTTAATTAGGGTCAGACTGGGGACAGAGAGGGAAAACTCAACAGAGAGGTCAAGCAGGGGTGGGGGTGGAGAGGACATGGCCATGCAGAGACAGAAGACAGACATCACAAACGGAAGGAGACCAGAGGGGGCGTTCTTTGATGAATAGAGACAGGCCAACAGAGAACACAAAGAATACTAAAGAACAATTTATGTTCTGCTCTTTATCTCTGCAATAACATAGTTATTACTTGGTCACCCTTGTGGTGGACCAATACCTTTCTAAAGGCTAAATTATATAAAGGAAGTAAGACAATATTGAAATTAAACACTGGTCCCAAATGTCAACACTGCAGTCTCCAATTCAGTATGGTTGGTAGATATCTTAAAAATATTTCCATTAAATTTAAGTTATTCACTAAAATTGAATTACCAGTAATAAAATTGCCATTGTTTTCAATAACAGCCTTACCTTAAGGCTTTACATTAATATTTATGCAACCCCCCATTTCGGATTTCAAATCCACCACCATAGATACACTGTTGTCTTTCCTTACCTTTTTTGCTAAAGTATTCCCGATTCCTGGGGAGGGAGACATGTTGGCAGAAGGTGGAGTAGAAACAGGAGGTGGTGGTGGTGTAGGAGCTTTGAGTGAAGGGGTTGATGAGGATGATGAGGGCTGTTTGTTGATAGATGGACTCTTCTCCCTCTCTTTATCCTTGCCTTGTGATGGACTCTGGCTTTGATTGCTTGACCCATCATTTACAGTTGTTGCACGATTTCCACGTGCACTTCCTCCACCGCGCCCTGTATGCCGAACAGTGGCCCTGAAGGCTGGTCGACACACATAATTCTCCAGGATTTTGGGTGGTTTCTTCATTCGTTTAGCTTGAAGACCAATCTTAAGTTTGACATTGCCCTCACACAGGCTGCTCTCTTTAATGGAGAAATGTGATTGGTCGCCACCAGCACCTCCTGGAGCATCTGCACCTGCACACCCATTACCACTTGAGACATTGTTAGATCCCTCCTTCTCTCTGTCTCTCTGCTTTTCATCCTCTTCCTCTTTTTTCCCTCCTCCTCCCTCCTTGTCTCTTTCACCACTGGAAGTAGCTGAGATAAGAGGGGGAGGAGCTGAAGATCCTCCCTGCATCTTCTGATCCATCAAAACTTTAAGGAGTGTACAGGTATACTAGGGAGGGTATGTTGTGGATCCCTGGTACAGTTCTAGAGAAGGAATATGGATAGGGGTGAAGGGGAAAGGGGGGAGGTGGATAACAGTGAGGGGGAAGATCTCCTTGATTTGAGGTGTTTTCTCTCCCTTCCTTGGCTGTCCAGCCCTCTTTCTCCGTCCTTCAACTATTGGAGTAAAAGCAGATGAAGTGGGGGGTAGAGAAAGAGAATGAATGGAGCAGACAAAAAAGGAAGAAAATCACATTAGTCACAGTAACACAGGGCATCAACCAAACAGTGACAGTTTTAAGCAGCACCCTGCAACTGAGAAATATGAAATGTCTTTCAAGGAATAATTGCGCAAAGCAGATGGAAGGCAACATTTTTTATCATCACTTTGGTTGGAGGTTGTCCTTCAATCTGTCTGAGTGAAGTTTTATGATGTGTTCGTCCTCTTAGTCTTTAACAATCTGTGACCTATTTACACAGCCAAGACTCCTCTACCTGAGTAATGTCACCTTAGGCTCAAGGACTTCAAACAGTCAGTCTGAAAACTACAATAGCCATAGTCAACAGATAGTCCCACATTTACATTCTTCTGTGATGAAAAAAAAAAAAGATAAAACGAGCAAAAAAAAAAAAGAATTTCTCTCAGTGGCTATAGCTAACACATTTCTGTGATAGCAGCATGATGCTCAAGCTCTCTGTTAGCAGAGTTCTGCATGTTTCTTAATTATGATCCTTAGAGCACAGTGCGATTCAATGAAGTTGTCTACTGCTCCCCATGGTCACTGAGTGATTTAATGTGGATTCGCCTTCAAGCAGGTGCTTTCTCCATGTGGAGTCATTTGGAGGCAATTCAGAACTGTGACCTCAGCACATTGGGCCCTCTGGGACTAGACAGAGGATCCAACCGCCTTTTCCAGCCTTTGCCAGCAGCAAATGAGAGTAAGTGATACAGCGTCAATGTGCCGGCGGTTTCTCTGCACCCTACATTAGCGTACAGCACTAAAGAAGCCACTTAGTGGACTTTCAGCAAGGTTGTCATTATTAAACCATAACAGCAACAAAAAAGGACCATACACAGAGTTTCAAAGAGGACCATATTTGTTTTGGGTTACGAGTGTGGAAAACAGTAGTAACAAATTTTCTTGAACCACACAGTAAATGTAGCACAATTTCTGGAGTCTGGTCTGTACTTCCCCCACGCCCTCTTACTGTGTTTACTTCAATTACTCACTCCGTTTCGCCTCAAAACTGCAAACTCCCCTCGCTACACATACCTTACTCAAATCACACCCTCCCTCTTTTCTTTAACACTCCATCAATCTCTATGCTCTTTCGCCGTTTTCTTAAAGCATTTCAATCCTCTTCCTTCTCTGTTTTGCAAACTTGGAAAGAACTAGTAGCAGCACACAAACTTTAGTCAGTCTTCCTTCTTTAATCGAAAACATGTTTCACCCACCGCAACCCCCCCCCCCGACTGTGTTCCCTGTGTCCACCAAAGGCGTAGTGACAAATGTTCTGCCCATTTTTTTATAAGTAACATTCGCAGTGATAAAAGTTTCTTCCGCTTTCCAAGAGAAGCTCTGCCAAAAATATGCTATAAAAAAAGCTTTCTGAAGAGTCAAAATATTCTTTATCCCTTAACCTATCACAAGCTGATTTGGTCACTTACCATCACATCTCCTGCCCTAAATACTGTTAATACTTGGTTAAATGACATTCTAGCTTGTTATTCACAAATTATGACAATCAAAACTATGATTTTGACATTTAGCACTACTTTTAAATTTACAAGGAGCTGAGGCCTCACTGTAGTCATTTCAGCTTTTATAGTCATACTGAAAACTGACAGTATATCGGAACTACAGGTTTGAGGACAGTCTCTATTAGTCATGCCTGTCTGCTCTAAGCTTCACCTAGTGAACAATATATTTAAAAAGAGAAAACTGTAGGAAGAGAACATGGAAATACGTCTGAATATGATAAATATGATAACAACAAACAAAAGACTGATAATCAATATCAGGTCAAGAGCCTTAAAAATGGCAGAGCAGAGACAGGAACGTAGTAAACAACTTCCCGCGCCCCCTCCCGTTTCTTTCCCCCCTTTACTCCCTCCCTCTTTCACTTTTGCACACGTTGTTCATAACTGCTTATTTCCCTTTGGCCATAGCAGTGGTATCCAACCCACCCACCCCCACATCATTCACATGAGGGCTGGTGTCTGCCCTCCCCTGCTCGGTGTCATTTCCAGGGCTTCTTGATACAAAGTCGTACACGAGGGGGGGGCGAGAGGGGGTGCAGCCAAATTCCATTACTACTACAACCATTCTATGAGTGAAAACATTTAAAAGCGCAAACATAAAAGAGGTGACGGTAATGTTCAAAGAACAAAATGTAATAAAAATGACGCGGATGTGTTACTAAATCAGACGAGAATGACAGGTGTCAATCAGACGGACACGACTCGAACATGCTGAGTATGAAGCAGCTCGGTGTTGTTAAAACAGCATTCATTCCTAATGTCTATTACCTCTTTTTTAACTAAGTATTGTAATGCAAAAAACGTGGACTGCTGGACAAACCAAATGACATTATCGCTTTTCGGTTTCCTGTATAGCCAACACTGCACCTCGAGGGAATAACTCAAGAACAATCACTCGCACATTTCCACTGCAACTACTTATACTCAACATATCCACCAGAATGACTCGCACCCGAGTCTTAGAGATTGCCTTTTTGGCAACACTTCTACACACATGTGGTCTAGATGTGATTTTAATTATATTTGAGAGATTCTGCTTGCGTGGGCAAACTAGTCCGCCTACGATATAACTCACTTACCTCTTAAACTGTCCAGAAACGTAGTTCACATTATTTTGTCCTGTGTCCACCCCTGGTGTGTTATCAACGCGGTGGCCACATATTTGTATCGTCCAAGTCCTGAGGTTGCCAAAAATAAAAAATAAAAATAAGGGGAAAAGTCTTGAGCTTTCTATATCTCTGTTAATCACTGCTATGCCAATGAAAACGGCAGCTGGAGGAGTGTCAGTGTAACGCTAGAATATTCAGTCCCGTGTAATCAGGCTTACAATTGAATAACAAATTGTTTGTGCAGTTTACACGCGTGTAATAACGGAGACATCTATAGCGAGCGAAGCCACAAATCCCAACCACAAATCAATGCACGCGCAAAAAATATTGCTTTAACCTTGCCGCTTCTATAAACACAAAGTTGCTACAGTCTCCGAGCATCTACATCAAATATACTCACCTGTTATTGTAGAAAATAACAATAGCAAAAGCTGCGGAGTATGATAGCATTTAAGTGAACCAAGAATTTTTATTAGACTTGTGTTTATTTTTGTACCAGACTAGTAGCTGCCATGCAATAATAGACAGCGCCGTGCTACATTTGTATCACAGGCAGCGGCTAACTAGCCATCTATAACCAGTCTGTTTAAAGATAGTTTAAATTATTTACACAAAGCGTGGTTGGTAAAATTTTAAAAAAGTGTTACAGACGAGTTTCGAGCACCTGCAGCTGCCATTCAGTTAGAGAAAAGCGGGTGACGAGTGATGCACATAATCTTGCATCTCCGTCACATTCTCGCAGCAGCCACTCGTGTTACTACATCTCGGCTACGGCTGCTAACGGTGTACTAGCAGGTCAGCTAAAAAAACAGAACGAAAAAAATCCAATGTTGACTCCCTGACGAAGATAATCTGAGATGTTTAAAATAAAGTTGTAAAAAGGACGTTGTGTATTATATTCCAGAGGTTTGAAATGACAGATGCAGCGCCGTGTAGGATATATGTTAAAAAAAAAAACACTATCTGTCAACAAAATGGCGGCTGCGTTGAATCAACAGAAACTCGAAATGGATCTCCCTCTAATTTATCCCTGCTGCTGCTGTAAAATCCTGCTTCCTTACAGCGAATGGTATCCGTAATATGTGCCGAGACGCTCCGAAATCCACTCCAACTCGCCGTTAGCTGGGCCTGGATGTGTCAGCGCGGGCCTCCCTCGTTAGTCGGGCCTCCATGTCTGCTCAGCCCGTATCGCTAGTACAGTGTCAGTACAACATGGGCATTCTCGGTCCCAGGGTGGGAGGAGGGAGGAGAAGAGGAGGAGGTGGAGGAAGGCGGAGGGTAGACAGGGGAGAGGAGAAGAGAAAGAGGAGAGCCAATGTCGGGTGTACGCTCTTCTGTGGTCGTCTATTTTTTTTAAAGTGTGTGTTTCGTTATTTCTTCTTTTTAGGTTTCGCCCATACCGCTGTGTTTTTGACGTGGTTTCAATGGCGGGTGTGTTTTCTTAGTATGCAACAGTCAACTGTCAAAGTGGCGGTGGGCAGCCACTCAAACACACACACACTGACAACATACCGTTACAGTGTATGAACACGAAAGGCAACTGGAGCCCTTTATCCCATAAATAAATCATTGTGTTCCACAAGGATGTTGTTGTTCTGTTAGAGACCATTAACCAGTCCAATAATCAATCAGGCCATTATTGCAATAATACATACATGGGCATATACCTTTGGTTTCAGTTACAGTGGTTTTCTATCTTATTTTCTTTCTATCGTCCTCCACCCAAAGCCTTATAAAATCCCCCATAATTGTGGATAAAGTTGGTACACTTTCTTTAAAAAAGCAGATAAAACATGTTAGTAACCTGGTATTATATCTTTGTCCCACAGAAAAATTATCTAGAAATACATCCAAATTCTTTTTTTTTTTTTTTTTTTTAGAAATGATTGCTGCGATATACACCAAAACAAAAATGAAACAGAAGGCAAATCGATCATATACCTTTTCTTTTTGGCTTATTGGAGAAGGTATAACTAAAAGTTAGGACTAAGGTGGAATTTATGCCCATTCTCAGGGGTATCTTTGTCAATTTTTCACTGACAGACATGTTTCATACTCAACAGCGCTAAGCCTAGTTTCAGTAATTTGTGCAAAATTGGCTTGACATCATCCTTACAAAGAGTTTCACATAAATATAATATTCTTACACGTGTCTCTAAAAGACTAATTTAGGCCTCAGTATGAATAAATGGTTTCACATACATACAAATCCCAATGTCTTGATATACCATCGCAGATGGTGGTTTTTGCACCTTTCATTGATAACAGCCTAGGTGGTCCTGTTTATGTTTTGCTCATGTGTAGGATCCAATTTTCCATTTTAGGACTGAGGTAATATTTATTGAAAGTGAAAAGTCAAACTTGTTGGGGTGCACCTGGCAGTGCTTTACATTGCTATCCCACAAGAGGGAGATTTATGTTAATCCTGGTTGCCCTTTTATGGAAGCAGTAAGTATAGAGGGTGTGAATCACAGGGTAAGGCTTTAATGAAAAGCATTATGTATATAAATAAATTCTCAACTGGACTATGTTGAAAAGATTAATAATATTTTGTGAAATGGTCTTCTGATGTATTTAAAGTAAACTTTTATTTTGAAATTCTGTGCAATTCCCAGTTGACCGCTGACAGCTCAGTGACGAGGAGTTTATCAAGTACTGCAAAAGTCATTCAATCCAAGACCCTTTTGAACGGCAGAGTAGTAAGAATGACGATGGACATGTTTGTGCAGAAAATATTATGGTCCTTAGAAAGGATGCATCCTGTGAACGCCGAAGTCAGTGTTGAGGAAAAGATTTGAGGTGAGCAGCATGTCTGTGTCTCAGTAAAGGAGGTAGTGTCCGTCGCCTCGCTTCCTGTCAGATCGCCTGCTGCTCTTGTTGCTCTGTCCTCATGGCGCGATCATCTGGGAGTTCCACTGTGGGTGGCAGGCTGTTGTCAATACCGTTGAGGCTTTTGCGGCACACAGGACAGGTGTCATGCTGGGAGGTGAAAAGACAGAAATTTGAGATATCTAGAGGCAAAAAATTGCCTTGATACATTAACACGTTATTAGTGAGCACAAAGAATTGAGGAAAGTTTTCATTTACAGTTTAACCAATGAGTCCTCATAAATCCTGGACCAACATAAAAAGCTTTAAGCTAGGATTGAGCCAACACTATTTACTTCTATAAACACAACACAATCTACTGGAAGCTAGCGTAATATGCAGTATTTCTAAAAAAAAGTGTTTTATTTAGTACTTCAAAAAACGTATCAGTCTAGGTACCAACACTGGTATGTGACCATTGTCTACATCATTAAAGTAAACTGAGCCGAGTCCTTACCATTTCCAGCCAGGGTACTATACAGTGACTGTGAAAGAAATGGAGGCAGGGGAGTTTCCTGACAGATTCCCCTAACGAATACTCATCTCTGCAGACTGAACACTCCAGTCTGCAGTCTGGGAGGAACAGAATACGACAGAATAAAAACAGAACAGAAAGAAGTAAGTCTATGACAATGCTACAGCACAAAATCACAAAGAAATCAGAGACCAGAGTCAAGTTTAGATTCCCACCTGTTTGTTCCTTAGAGATGCAAACTGTTGGCAGGGATGAGATCATCTCCTTTTCTGCAGGAGGTGGACCTGTGTTCTCCAACTGTCCTAACAACTGGTAGTGACAATGACTTGATATTAGTGTGGTGTTACTGCTGACAGAATGAGATGTAAATGTCCAGTTGTCAAATCACATCTGAGACATCACTGACCTCTGTGAAGACAGTTTCAAGATCTCCCTGACCCCAGATATAGTCTCCTGGGTTTGAGTACAACTGCAACATGCTGGTGCTGATGAAGGAACAACCCGACGCGCACACACACACACACACACACACAAAGAGAGAGAAAGTTAAAATCAAGCAGCACAAAACCTAAACTAAATGACAATAACCTGAAAAACCAAAATCATTTACAGTGAAGCTGGAGTAGCCCCGGGATTCCCGTTGTTTGCGAAGAGGTCAGCCAAGAACTGCTGCACAATCCTTGAAAGGGCAAACACAGAGAGCAAACACATCTGCTGGAGAGAGTCGCTCAAAACACACACAAGTGTCACCGTGTCGCAGGTTTTACTCATGCCTTGTTTTTGTGATTTGACTGTCCAGAAAATCAAATGCTGCATGCAACTCTGATTGACCGTAGGATGAAACACACACAATACATTCTAAAAGATCTAGACATTGTTGATGTCTCAGTGTACCATGTCCACACACCCTTCCACTGCAGGCCTCTGCTCAGGCCGGGATGACGACTCCTGCTCTGATTGAGAAGAAGTTTCTGCTTCTGTGTCCTCGGCAGCAGCAGGTGACACCGGAGACGTGCGGCTCTGACCTGCAGATACCTGCTGTGAGGAGGGCGGGTGCGACAGGAGAGCAGAGCGTTCCATAAACAGCAGCTGCCATAACTTGGAGAGAGTCCAGAGAAACAATACGTCAAAGGAAGTCCACCGAGACAGAGGAGTACTGGAGTACTGTAAGTATACGTATACTCTGTACCTCTGAGACTAAAGAGTTTGAGTCTTCACCGGCTGTGGATGCTCTGTCCTCCAGCAGACTGGGAGAAAAAAAGAAAGTTCTTCCTTTGAAATGTTATCTTAAACATGATTCATTTTCACCCAGAGACAGACGTCCATACCTGGAGTCTTCTGTCACCTCCTCAATGAAACCAGAGTCACATCGAGGGCAGACGAGATCCTTCAAGAGAACGCAGACAATTGAGGACAAAACGTTTACATATAATTTCTCAACATCCTTTAAAAACGGGGTTTTATGCTCTGATCAAGGTTATTTGTGTAAGGTTTTGCTTTGCTTTTTATTTCATTAGAGAGATTCACAGACATTTCTCCTCTTGTGGGCATCTTCACCTCGCTCTCTCAGTTCAATTCTTCAACAAAGAAAGGAATTATTGCAAAACCCAGCTTGAAATATAGGCATTCATTCAGCCAGCCACAAGAAACACTTGCGACATCAACAACAATGGTGGATCAGTGGTGGGTGAAGCTGAGTGAGGGCCTGGAGTTTCACAGGACATTTAAATTTATCCACAAAAACCCCTGAAGCCGGTCACTTCTGGACCTTGTTTCAAGGACAAAGGGATTGTCTCTCTCTCTTTCTTCTGATATTATGGAATGTTGTCTTTTTCCTATTAGAGCGTGACGGTGTAGAAACAGAGAGGAAAGAATCGAAACAGACACACAGAGTTATAAGGTCTGCATCTCAACCACTAAACCACATGTTGAAGTAAGGGCTACCACAACACTGCAGACACACCGCTGCCTTGACTGTTATTGTGTGCGACTGCCACATTAGGATCTATTTATGTATTGGTACCTCCATAAAAGAGCGTATTCTGTTGCCGCTGTTTGACTGATTGTGGCCTGCATAACTCTGAACTCCAGGAACAGATTTTGATCATTTTTCAAGGAATGTAGATCAGGGTCCAAGGAAGAAACTATTATGTTTTAGCTGAGCTCTGTTTATGATCTGCCTTCACATTCTTTTAAAATCAATTGTTGGCTTTGGAAGAGGGTGGTGCTTTCTCAGGGTTTTCACTGCTCTTGCTGTTTGTTAGGTTAGAACTGGAACTATATACAAAACATCGACCAAAATCCAACAGAGTCAGGCCACGGCAGACGTGAGGGTTATGTAGGAACGCTGTAGCTCTAATGCTAAAGTTTATGTTGCATGTCATCTCAGCAAATTGCACAATTTCAGATGCCTGGCTGGTCATCAGGGGTCACCAACGTGGTGCCCGGGGCCACCTGGTAGCCCCCATGGACTGGCTAATGTGCCCGCAGGCTATGTTCCTAAAATAAAACTAGTCAGCAAGAGGGTCAGAAACTGTATTGTTACTGTGCTTTCTGAATCAGTTACACAAATGATATTCAAATGTGTGCAATGACGGTGGTAAGAAGAGAGTCTACTATTGTATGTACCAGAACTAATTATTCTTACATTATTTGTGAAGCCTGTATTAAACAAGTAGCTCTCTGTATTACTAAGGGCCATCGAAGTAGCTCTGACTTTCAAAAAGGTCGGTGACCCCTGGTGTAAACTGATTAATGTTGTTGAGGAACGAGGGCTTCACTGAAGTTTGGAACTGTAACGTTGACAGCCCTAGTGTAAAAACATGTTAATCCAACGTGTCTGTACCCATTCAGGAAGCTCAGAATGTTAATTAGTTTTAAAAGTTACCATCCTTGGATAACAAGTTCATTGTACAGTAGCCTACACTGATAAAACTTGGATTCTTGTTAAAAACAAAAACAAATAAACATTAAACAGGAAAACGCTGAATTACCAAAATGAGTTCCATTAAATTGCTTTAAATAATGAACAACATTTTATGCATATAGTAGAGATAAAATACACTTGTTAATCCCACCTCCTTTTTTTTTTTTTTTTTTTGATATGCCTGCTGTACCCTGGACATAATGTTACGGTACAACACACACACACACACACACACACGTGGTAACACAAGAACGAACTCCCAGACACAAGTTGACAGCAGACAACTGTGCACATGTCGGCCACAGTGGCGTTTCTTAATATGGCAACATGGATGGCCAAAATTCACCCCCCTCCTCCTCCTCCACCCCCTCCTCTCCCTAATATAGATCTTTGCTGCATTACGCACAACAACAACTCCAACAGTAACTTCAGTAAATACAGTGACAGCTTTAATTAAATGTTGTCCGTTAGTTTGTGCTGAGCAGGAGTATAAACTTTTAATAAACAACACTCTGGTTAAAGCAGAGAGACGTGGAACATAAATCATTCCCGAGCTCCACGGACGCGTGGATGACACTGGTCCAAACACGCGTGGAATAAAATCAAATGTGGAAACAGCGACTCACCGGCAGTTTGGGGCTGGTTTCACATTTACAACAGTGGCAGAAGAACCGGTGTTGTGGTGGCTCCGCAGCCTCCGCCATCTTCCCGGTGGAGCGCACAGGCTGACGTCGGTGAGGATGCCCATAAAAGTCCGAGCAGCCCCGCGGGAGGAGGCTGTGCTGCGGTGCGGTTTGGTGAGAACACCCGCTACTCCCTACTGTCTCTAATTCAATCACATTCACAATCCTTTACATTTAAGTATTAAGTTTACATAAGTAGGACCAGGGGGACATTAGCATGGAAGCATTAGGTCATCCTTCTGTAGGTCAGTCTTTGTCAACCACGGGTACGCGGTCCCTTCATGGTACCCGTACTTATGCATGTGTTTTTTATGATTCATATTTTAAAAATTTTAGGGGAGGAATGCTCATATGAAGTAAAGGTATTTGGTGAGTACATTTGAGATTTTAATAAAAATACCATATATTTGACAAGTCGGTGTCAACGGATGATACTACATGGATGAGAGTAGTGAAAGTGAAAGTGAAAACTTTAACTGCCACTCCACCACGTTTTTAAAGTTCTCATAATCCGTTTATTCCTTTTATGTGATGCTAAGGTTGCTAACAAATCAACCAGGCTTCATAACTGTGTAAGCAAGACACTTTATTCAGTTAAACCCAGACAGTGAACAGTGATTATCGTCAAAACTAGAATTGACAAGAACAGATGAGTGACAAGTAAACGGCAACTCAAACAACTCATGGTCATAATTCCGACAGGATGAGGAGTATTTGGCATTACAGTGAACAGCCAGGCTGGAATTACAACAAAAACTATGTGTTAGTTTTTACAATCAGTCGACATGAAAAGCAGCAGTGGAGCTGAAGCTAAAGCCGTTTGGTCCAGTGAAGACCTGGACCAAACGTTAGAATGGCATCATTTCAGTGTTCACTTCAAAGACTGGTTCTCTCTACATACACGACTCTCTGTAAACATGATGCACATCCCAGTCTTGGTAAATATGTACGAGCAATACTACCCAACTTGGCACACACTTTTGGCTTCTGATACGTAAAAAACCAAAAAAAAAAAAAAAACCCAAGACATTCAGTCACACTTACAGACGACAGCCACAAACGTCATACAGCAACTTTATTTCATCTCAGTTTCCTGCTTCTCCCAGTAACAGCCTAAGTCCTGTTCTGTAACCACCTCTGTTTCATGCAAGTGCGAGTGGTTCATTAGAAATAACACTGACCCTGTCCATCACTCTCTAATCCTGGTTTGGGCAGAAAACTGTTCCTCCGTCAATCAAACCCTGCGTCTCTCTCTCTCTCTCTCTCTCTCTTCTCTCTATTTAGGAGCGGTGAAGGCCCCCTGGGCGGCGTTGAACGTGGCCTGGCGTACGGCCTGGTTGGACATGACTCCGGTGGCGAACTCAGCCTGGGCCTTCTGGAAGCTGGCATCGGTCTGCCTGTACAGACTGTGGACCTGCAGCAGGCGGACAGTGCGGTGGACTGACATTTAATACGTGTTGCAATTCATCATCATATCAGGTGCATTGTGAGGCTGAAAATGATCGGCGGAACCTGATACTGCAGCTGTTCTTCACACTGTTTATCTACCCACCGTCTGATGCTCAGTGGGCCGGCCCCAGGCCAGGCAGGAGCAGGTGTTTACACAGAGCAGTAGAAAGTGGAATTGGAGCTAAATGGTTTTGTTTTTGTTTTCCAACATCAGATACATACGCTATCATATATCTCTTCACCTGGATCCCTGTTTGTCTTCAATAAAACACATCAAGTTGCTCTGACTTTTCCCGTGTCATTTGTTATTTATTTTGGAATTCTATTAAACACCCGAGATTAAAGTCATGTGTGATATTGTGTTATGTACAACAGAATGAGAGTGAATTCATTACAATAACTAAAGTTAAATACATGTTCATATATGTACACATATATTTACCCTCTTCAGCATGACAACTCCCATGGCGGCCTGGCCAGTAAAGAAGACGGCGTTTATCATCATGATGACACCGACGCCGACGTTTTGATTCAGAGCAGCCAGGCTCACGATCCAACCACTGAGGGGAAGAAACCGAGAACAGGACAAACACAATGGAGAAAAGAAAATAATAAAAAAATACAATACAGCTCTAATAATTATACAAAAAAAGAAAAATCTATATCTTAAGGCGTGAGCCAAAATGCTAAATGATTCGTAAAATTCAAACAAGCAGATCATAACCTGGCCAAAAGATTAATAGTGTTTTTTTTAATATATTTGTCCTACCTGAAACCCCATCCAGGGATGCCGATAGTCATGATGACGTAGACGACGACTTGAGCGAAGAAAATAAAAAAGAAGACGAAAAAGTTGAAGGAGCTGTCACTCCTGAAAACAGAAAACAGATGTTCCAGAAGTTATTCCTCATCTGGCCGACATGACACTGTCTCAGATGTATGATATCATTTCTGAACAGTTGTAAAATTCTTAAAAGTAAAACTGTAGCAGATGTCAGGCGAGCCTCTGACACCAAAGTCTGACATGACAAAAACAAGGCTGTAAATGAGAACGTTTCAAACAGAAATAAAAAAAACATGTGCTCTAATCACGTGACATGACTATTTTTAGTAGTAGTATAGATTCATCATGTTTCTCTTTGCGACATCAAAAGGTCCTGAAGATGGCGCTACATACCTGAAGGCTTTATATATTGGTCGGTACCAACAGACAAAGGAGCAGGGAGCGAAGAGGAGCGCCCACAAGATGGCCAGACCCAGGCCCACACCGCTACCAGAGGGGTCCACGCAGAACATGGCCAGAGAGGAGATGAGGTTGAAGAGGAGCGTGCCGGTGCCCACTGGAGAAAAAAAGAAGAAGAAAAGAAGCACATTCAAAACTCAAAACAATAAACAACATCTAAGATTATTATAGCCAATCATTTCAACACCTTAAGGTTTAGGTCAGTGGCCCTCAATAGGCAGCCCGTGGGCCACCTCCAGCCCACGACCTGGCTTTTTGTGGCCCTGCACTGTGAACATAACTTTACTGTGCGTTTTGTTTAAAAATAAGGTTTGGAACTCACACATCCAGAAGTAGTACATGATGGTGACGATACGCTGGAAACGCTGGTTGATCTCCACACTGATGTCCTGGTAGAAGCAGGGGCCCACGGGGCAGAAGGAGGGCAGCGGGGGCCAATTGTTTTGGCGAGCTGACGGCATAAATAAAAAAATAAATAAAAATGAGGTTAAAGTGCAGCGGTCAGATAAGATTGAACGGTCAGAGGGGGCAGCATTTCTCCCCATGTGGACTCCAGTGTTATACAGCTGTACATATATTCAGCATTTATGTTGACGTGACGATAAAGGAGAGGAATGAAAAACCTGCTGACACGATATATCTCTCCCTCTCTCTCTCTCACCCACTCTCCCCCTCAATTGAATTGGTCCTGCAGGGATGTTCAGAGACACAGATGCTCTGACCACACTGTATTCTACCTTCAGTTTGAATGTGAGGACTAGCTGTCTGACTGCACCATGGGAGTGAACAGAAACTAGTCCAGATACAGAACTAGGCCAAGGGTAACATAAGCTCTAAACCTGAAACTCTGAGGTTCACTCTTTCATATGAACTGATTTTGGTACTTAATAACATACTGTACTTGTGTGACATCATCAATTAGACCATGTTCCTTTTCCTGCAGACGTCCTACATTTTTATCACATTCACCCACACCAACAGCCCATCGTCTCACTCTTCCCCTAAATTAACTTCAAGTAGATCTATTACATCTGATCTACTTGAAAAAGACTTGCAACTAGTGACTAAGAGCTGAAACCAGTCATGCAAATATTACCTGTCATCATTGTTCATGGGGAAAAGCAGCTTTCTTTACTCCCCTTTGAACAACCTCCTTTTTGCAACTTGTGGTGTCGCCCCCTGGAGGTTTAGTGCAACTTAAATTCTTCTTCACTTTAATTTGTAGGCATACATACAAAATGACAAAGAACTCATTAAAGTGTATTGTGTTTTCCTCTATACTGTTAGAACAGAAAGACAAATAACAGCAGGTTATAAATATGTTTATATATACATAAATATATGTTTCAAAACTGTTTCTATTTGTGAATAATCCCATGATGGAATTATTAACAAGAAAAGAAATATAATAAGAAAATTACGCAGCATATCTGATCATCTTCAGAGTTGGTGATATTTTAATTTTGACAGCTCTAATGTTGACATTGTCACCATCACAGCCCCACAGACGCCTGTGGACGCCTGTTCACGTCTCACCTGCTCCAGGTCCCAGACCGTGTGACTCCAGCTCCCTCTCTCTCCTCTCCAGATCTTTGGCTTTCTTCTCCAGCTCTTCCTGTTTCCTCAGGAGCTCCGCCGTAGTCGCGTTTACCGCAGTCTAACAAGGTCAGACATGAGGGAACTGATGCATCAGGACATCATGTCAGCTTTCACAGAGACAGGGTCTGTGTTTGCGTCATAAATTATGGAGATGGTTTGGTAAAAGCCTTCTGATCTCGTGCTAAGGCGGCTCCCAGGAGAGCTGCTGCTCAGTCTCCAGATGCCAAGTGTTTGTTTTACTTGGTTTAGTTACAGAAAGACAAGGTGGCAATCTAGGTTTGAGTGATGTGATCACTAAACACTGCCAATAACCATGTCGGCCACCACAACACTAATTAGTTCATCATTACAAAGAAGCAGGGTCCTGCTAATGAAGTCGTGCATTTGTCTCTGATGACTCAGCACTCAACACAATAAAAGCAAATAGATCCACAGCAATAAGCAGGAAAACACTTCCCAAGATGCTTCACTTGCCTGGGACTCATATGAGCCGTAATTGCGAGGTTCAGTAGGTGTCGTCCTGCTGGGGGGAGTCTGCGCAGGCGCAGGCGCAGCGGGAGCCGAGGGCGAAGTGGCATCGTATGGTGGTGGAGGCTAGAAAATAATAATCTTAAGTTAGTTGAGTTTGTGAAAAACCATGAATTAACTCATAATGATAAGGCTTGATTTTATTTCCTTGTATTTTCCAACAGGAAGAACAAACACACAGACACATCTCTCACTTCCTAGATTTTAATTTGATTCTGTCTCTTCGTAGTTTCTTTACATTCAAAAACTACTCTTTCCAGTGTTTGTGGGCCAAATCAATTTTTAATGAAACCATTATTACAGGAACTATTTTGCCAGCATTTGCCTGCAGTTTTCTTCGGAGGCAAAACAACCTCTTATATGTGTTTGGGGAAAAAAACAGAATTAAGAATACACGGTCATTTTATGGCTTTATTATAGAAGCTGTGTTTACACATCACTAAATTTGCTCAGGTGTTTTTTAACAATGTAGAAATATTATAAAGAAAACAAAAAGGCAGAAAGAAACCACAGGAGATGGTCATTAGAACAAAGAAACCAAAGAGTTCTTATTAAAACTGGTCTAAATGACTTTTACAGCGTGTAATGAGAACGTGTGGTTTTGTTAGTCACACAAAATGTGAAACTGAACACAGCACATTCCCCCAGCCTCGTTTCCTTTACAGTTTGTTGCTACTGCTGACATGATGATGATGATGATGATAACAGGACACAAAAAAGGATGTGAGACAGACACATTATACATTGCAGGCTTTAAAATAGGACATTTTAACTCATACTAAAGTGAAGCCATGGAAGAAGATGGGGGAAAATTAGATTAATTCAAATGGAATTTGTAATGTCAACAAAAACTTGTGTGAGGATTTTTCTTTCATTGATTAAAAGAATTTCACAGAACATAGATAGATAGGACTTTATTAATCCCTTGGGAGATGCCAGGTCATTGGTGATGTTTGTGCTTTATCATCACTTTGAATCACTTAATCGAGAAATTAATTAATCAAATTTTGCAAACTGTTCACAAATTCCGTCCAACCAAGAGTTTAAACAATCGATTGTGACTATACAGTCTTCAGTAAATCAGTCAGTAGTAGCAGCACTTCTACAGGGAAGCACTTTCGGTCTGTGGTTTCAGTTTTAAACTGAGGTTTTAAAGCAAATGTAATTACTGTATTTTCCTATGTACAGATTACAACACAGAGAGACTAATTAAGACACGGTAATCAACATCATCAATCAAAACAGTCTTATTGAGAATGTCACATGTGAAATTGTATTGTATGTTGGAAGCAATGTAGCTCACCGCTGTTGTGCTTTCAAATGGATTATAAAGGTCCAGGGTGGCATAACCTGTGTTGCTGCTGTGTTGGGTCACTGCAGGATCCTACAGCAAACGTTAAGACAAACATTCAAGTATCCCGTTATCTCTCATCGAAATAGGTTGATCAAAAATAACATCACAACCACAGCAGATACTGTACGTCAGACATGGTTTAAGTAAAGGCTGAGAACAGTGAGGCCCTGCTGTCACATGAGCACCAACACGGCTGCTGTTACACAAAAGCCACCAACAGTGACTTAATCATCAATACAAACACGTACCGTTTCCACAACAAAGTCTTGATTTATTTTAATAACATCAAACTCACCTGGAAAGGGTTGTGGTCGTCCAGCGGCTCCGGAAAACTCGTGTACTTTGACATGTTGATGTTTAAGTGCGTCAGAAATTCGAGCTAATGTATAGCAGCCAGCATTTGCCGCTAACTTCCAAACCTCTATACAAGAAGGATAAACAAGACTACGTCTTTGAACTGAACAGTCGCCGTCGTTTGAGACTCTGCGTTTGCTTCTTTTATTTTCAAAAAGATACCTCCGGCCGGGAAATGTCAAGGTTTAGCCTGTCAAGTCGCCCCTCCTCCGGTTTAACGTGTGTCAGTTTCAGTAATAATAATGTCCCCGGATGATTTAAAAATGTAGGGCTTTTCTGTTCTGTTTTGAATATAAATGCCTGCTATAAAGACAGGTCGCTGGCATTTAAAACAAAACGCTATTTTCCTCTCTCTCTTCTGAAGAAAAACATCCAAGCCTCCGGAAGTCACCAGTCCAGGTCATGTGACCGCTGCTGCAGAGGAGCACGTTAGTCCCAATCACGCGAGAACTTGCGTGACTTGTGGCAACCGCGTGCGGTTTCTGAGACGTATCAGTTGCAGTACCAGTACATTTTACAGCGATATTAACGACACAGAGACACACAGATACATTTTCGCAAATTATTATTATTATCGTTAATGACGTGATTTTAAATTCACACATATTATACATTTTATCAGACAAGTTAACGAATAATTAATATGTACAATATCTATTAATTATGATTAATTATTTAATTGTACATGTGGTTGACTGACAGGGATCATACAGTGAAATAGACCCAGCCTCTGGTTTGGCTGTTGAGGCCTGTGTGATGATGTCATTCACGATCTGGATATTTAGTACAATGGATCTATTGTTGGTGAAGGAGGCAGAGATCAGAAGTCACGACTTTAGAATAACTCTTTATGTTCAAAGATAATCTTTAAAAAAGGAATCACAGTGACATGATTTCATGAGTAAAAATTATAAAAAAGTTTCTTTAAATTAGATTTTTATCGGCATTCTCGATGGTTTAACTACTGTATAATCTTTAGGTTAGTTGTGGTGGTAAAATAATTCCCTCGCTCTGTTAAAAAGTAATTATCTATGGAAGGCCATCACAATTAGCAACGATCAGTTAATTTTACACACTGAATGCCACTGCACAGATTTCTTCAAAGTTTTAAAAGCATGACAAAAGGCTGGATCTGTTCAGAACCAACCGTTCGGTGTTTAATAAAATCACATGTTTAACAAATGTATTTGTTAAACACTAAACTTAGCTGTAAAATGTGTTCACAATTTAATTATAGTTTTGAGAATCACAGGAGAAGAACCGCGCTTCTGCATCACTGCCTGAGGCCAGTTTAATACTGCTTGATAAATACGTTTTGATTCTTCACCAGTAGATGTCACTCTCGTGTCTTTAAGGTGTAAGTTAACCCAGTGGAGTCAGATAAAACTTACAGTTCTATGTATATTTAACAGATAATTACAACAACAAAAAAAGGGATTTAAAATGTTTTGTTGTTTTCAGGTTCAGACAGAGGATTAATGTGTCACGGCCACAGGTTTTACACAATGTATTTTACCAAAAGTGAATTGCTTGCTGTCATATGTCAGGTTAAACACCGGCAGCAGCGGCGGCAGCAGAGAGGATTACACTTCCACCTCCACTAACCTTCACACATTGCACACACTCATGCCCCGGAACAATGTGGTGTGGTCTTTTCTCATCAACGTCTCCTCCAAGTCACATGGCTGAAGGCAGTCATGTGGTTTTAAATTGACTTGACCATCTCTTGACCACACACACACACACACACACACTGACAGACTTGTTCACGACCAGATCGTTGGACCACAATCTCTTCATAGGTCACATAACTCTAGTATAATGAAGCTAGACCAGGTCATTTGTATTATTATTATTTTCTGGACATTCTGTCTACTGAAATTTAAAGTGTATTATTGATGTTAAAATTACAAGTTTACCTGAGACACAAATTGTATTTTTAATAATAATTGCAGAAATAAAAGGTAGTGGAAGTATCTACTGTGGTTTGGATGGATTTCAAATGGAGTGATCTGTATTTTCTATATTTTCTTTACATTTACAGTAATCAGAGTTTGTCAAACAGGGCTGTGAGGAGTAGGGAGATTTTATGGATTGTTTTTGTTTTGTACTCTCAAAGGGAAACCATTATTCAATGATGATAATAAATCCCTCTGTTAAATATGACCAAAGTGAAACCGTTTAATGGAGTCAAATGAAATGATTAGAGTCGTTTTAATGCAGCAGCAGCAGAAACATCCTTCTGCCAGGGCTTGGTGTTTGTCTGTTTACCTTCATCTCAGTGTTGATCAGTTGAGGCCTGTGACTCATCAGTTCCTCTGAAAGACCCCGTCACGGTGGGTCCAGATGGCCTGGACTCAACCGTTGGAACTGGTTGCCTCCCTGTCCTAAAACCACAGCATTCCACAGCCAATGAAGCCGTGCGCCGCTCCATGACATCACCGCCTGAGGAATGAACTGGCATAACAGCAGTGTGTGGAAAGTGGCCCAGCTAACTAGGAGGGACTGGGTGGTTTTTGTGAGGCTAACAACCATCGACCACAGCCAGAGGTCATTTCCACAGTACGTTTATGATATGTGTGTGTGTGTGTGTTTTCCTATTGTTCAAACTCCACAGTGTGGTTTAAGCTTCTGTGGCTCCTCTGAAATCTTACACAACACAGTGGGTTCTTCAGAGACAATGAGTGCATTCTCTGTACCACGCTCACTTAGTCACACATAATCCTTTCACTTTTCCTTTTCTCAAAGAGAAATAAAATGCAGATCAGTGCAGGGTTATTCCACACAGTTGAATGACTACTTCTTTCCCCTCATTCTCGATCCAACGTCTGGGAAATGTTCACGTTGGTACAGGCCCAGTTCTCCTGCCGTTCACCCAGCACGGTGTGTTTAAGCCGGGCAGCACTTCACAGCGGTTTCTCTCTCCAAACTGTTTTCAAAACCTGGAAAAAGCATCAGCGGCGGTGAAGGAGAGCAGCAGGAAGTGGCCGACGGAGCCTGGGTGAGCGTTTGTAAAGTCAGGTGAAGCGTGTCTCACACACAGAGCCGAGGCGTTGAGTCACTGACTCCTGGTCAGTCTGTCAGTTTTAGCTGAAGGTTCTCTGGCCTCACGTTACAGCCTGTGTTTTCACTGTTTGTTTTGCATCCACTGAGATGAAAAGTGGATTTTCAGAGAGAACAGCTGGAAATCTTTAACACTGTGTACCTGCGCACGGCGCCAAAAGAAAGAGTCGGACATTCTCTTAGCTCACATTTGGATTCACTTCACCAATGTTGAACATGGATAACTTTAAGACACTTCCAGGCTAGCTTTAGGCTTTCATGGCTATTTCATTTCATTTTTGTTCTACACTTTTTTATGGAATAACTTTCAGATATCTTCCTAGCTAACTAAAGTTATTTTCACATTTCACTGGTTTTATTTTTTATTTATCATTTAGCTGTATAAGCAATCTTTTTGTATATCCTATCTGTTAGCAAACTTCCTGCCTAACCATTGGCTACACTTTTATTTTTGCTGTATTTGATTACATATCTCACTTTTATCTTTATGGTTAACATTTTGCATACTTTTAGCTTTATGCTCACTACCTTCAGTACTTTTCAGGGTGAAAGACTGCCAGGAATGGAGGGTTGGGGGATTTTTACAGAGCTCAGCCTGTAAACAGGTTGATGTGAAGAAGTACAACCTTCTGCTGAAGCTACGCAGTGACATTTTCATGGCTTCTCCTCAATCATTTTCCCTCCACTCCCTGTTTCCTTCCCGCTTTATAACGTATGAATCGTCTTTGGGGCTTTTTGAACTAATTGAGGACATATTGTGGGGAGCTGTGATGACAGAGAGAGCACACAGAGGCCAGAGCCGCGCGGTGTGGAATAACCTGCACAATGAGAAAATGAATGGCAGACTGTGCAGTAAAGTGATACGTGCTGTAGATGGACGACAAGGGAATAGGAGGAGCAGGGAGGAGCAGGGAGGAGACAGCACTTGAACACTCCAGTGCTGAAGTCATATAAAACTGTTTATTAACAATAGGAAAAATGGTTCAAAAACTGAAAAATGTGTTTTTAAAAAAGGCATTTTTACAAGATATGTGAGTGAGAGTGAATTCTGCTCTGCTGTTAAAACTGAAAGATAATGATGAGAATTAAGGAGTAGATTCTTCTGAGCACGCTCGGACAGCATGTGACCAGAAGATTAACAGGCCGTAAATGTTAATCATACCAGCGATACTAGTGATGTTCTGGGTAAAAGTGTCTTCATTCCCGCTCATAAACTCTGGTGCAGACAACATCTCCAGCCGTCAGTGTCTGAAAAGAAACGACAGAAGACACTTTTCCTTTTGAATGACCAAAGTAAAGTTTTCGGGGTTTTTTTGCAGCGTGTACCAGTCGTACTAGTGGTGTGGTTTGTAATTACCAGTATCAGTTCTCCATCATTGGTCAGCTCCCGTGTCCAGGACGTCTTGGGTCCTTCACCTTTCTGTAGAGTCTGTTCACAGCTGATCTTTCTGTCGCTCTCCCACCGTGGAAAACACTGGAGGTGGAATATGAATGACATCACCTGAGTGACCTGTGCACTGTCACTGTGGAGTCTGGAGGTCGGTGTTCAAACCTACTCTCCAGTCTGTCAGGCTGCAGGTCTGTGCCTCACCTCTCACTCAGCATAATGAAACCAAGGCCAGATCCATCCAGGTTTTATCACCAGGGTTGCACTCAAATTATTTCCACATGTTGTGTGTGTGTGTGCATCAGTTGTTCACTCCTCACAACTGTGTGTGTGAGTGTTTTATTACGCAGGTATGTTAAAATTGGAAGTAAAGAGGTTCTCACCGTGCAAGGACGTCCGTCCACCGTGGCGTCATTAAAGGACTGACCTACAGTGAAGGAGACGTAGGTGGTGCGGATGCTCGTGGTCGTCTTGATGGACAGAGTCTCTCCCTCCTGGGAGATTTCTACTGACGGGCTGGACGCCGCTACGGCTGCCATTTTTCTCAGGAACATATTCACACCTGAGCGAACACAAACAGAGCAGATATTAAACTGGCAGCAGTGGTCAAAACAGCGTCTGAGCTGCAGCCTGACGACAGGGTCGGAATTCACGTCAGTTCTGTCCCTTTTATCTCATCTCATCATTTGTGCTGTAACACACATTCATCTGCACAAAACACTGAGTGATTATTTACCTAATCAGTCCCCACTTCAACTGTTTATCTTTTTCATTTGCTCTCACTGAGACACATTTTATGGAAACAATGTGTTTTGTGTTTGGCATTTAACAATTACAAGCTGTGCTGCTGCACTGCCAAACAATTTAACCCGTAAAACACAAGGCAGTAAAATTAAATTGTGAATCACTTCTTGGTTACAAGTCAGAATTTATGGTATGTCTCAGCAAATGGTTGCCAGTAATGTGAAGCATATGTGATGTGTGCTCGAAGGTCTCAGTGTCTGCTGGGTGAGCCCCCGCTTCCCTCGAAAGCTGCCCGTCTCAGAGGACGGACGAGTTACAACACACCGGTCTCTCAGGTTCCCACAGAGGAGACGTGAAAAAAGACAGACGTGCATTCTTGATCAGATCAAGGTCCGGTGTTCAGAAAGCAGCAAAAACAACCTTTAAAAGAATGATGTTTATCCAAAAACAAAACTCAGAGATTATCCACTTTAGATGATCTGAGACAAACTGCAGCTGGAGCTGAAGGGCTGTTTTCATAAACTCAGCTCCAACCTGAAGGCCGAGGTTCAGGAGGTTCATTGTTTGTGTTGGTGACGGCTGTGCAAAAGCAATAAAAGTGCTTTTTGTCCATTTGGATTAACTGATCCCATAAACCTAACTGTTATTTCTGTTTCACATCGGTGCAGCTGAAACGCACAAAGACGACTACATATAGAAAATCTCCGGGTAGATCTTTGTTAAAAAAACAAAAATCCTGCATCTTTTTTTTTATCATCTAAAAGAAATGAAATCTATGAAAGTTTCCAATTTTAATCATTTGACTGGTGTTTGATTTTAAGAACTACCATGACAGGACAAAGCAGTCCAAGGAACGTGGGTTCTGACCGAGTCACTGATGTGCAGGACAACAATTAGGCTGAAACATAGAGCTTAAACCAACAACTGTATCGTGGGTCGGCAGAGATGGGACATTGGGTTTAATACAAGTAAAACAAATGTGAACTGCCGGTCGACCCTGGAGTTCTGACTTGATAAAAAAAAAAAGAAATCTGATCCAGTTCGGTGCGGATGTGATCAGGCAGTGGCGCTAAAACACAACCCTCACACGTACAGAGGCCCAGGGCGGCCGCAGAAAGTCCTTCTGGGAGACGGCTGCTCGGCTGCTGGGGCCCATGTTAAGGCTCAGTTCCGTTTACACTGGCTCTAATTACAACCGCATGAGTCGGACTCTGCTTCAGATGAGTCCAATCTAACATTCCTCCACAGACTGTTTGTCTTCTGATTTTCAATGGATGCCACACTGGCTGGCCCTCATCTGACCCTTTTCTCCTCAAAATGGACTCTCTTCCTCACCATGCACCTTGACCAGACATTTTTCCGGCAACGTGAAGTCGTTGGGACTGAAGCAAATCAATTTGACCCCAGAGTCACAGACTGAGACCACTGTGGTTCACAGGCTGACCTCTACGTCGTCACAATACCACAACAAATCTGACGGCAGTTTGAAGAGGAAACAAAGTGAATGTCACAATCATTGAATTATTGTAGAACGCTAGAATCTTAACACATTCTGCAGTGGTTTGGTGTGGTTTTAAACAAGGTCTTAAGTCAGGACTTTGTGTAGTCCCGTCAAGAACATGAACTTTTACATCCTGTGATAATCGGTCACTTTATTGTAGAAATCTGTTTCCTTATCATGTTAACACCTCAAACAATGACCTTGTTTTCAAAGCTTAAAATGTTCATTTTTCATCACAGTTTCTTCCATCCTCATGCGCACACTCCCACCTCTGTGTGGCACTGTGGGGACGATGTTCTTTGGGTTCATCTTCTCTCTCACAGTGAAAGAGTCAAACAGTAGCTTTGTCTTATCTGACAACGTTATCAGCTTCCATTAATCATCATCTTTGTCCTAAAATAACAACTACAGGGTATTAATTACAGGGCGGATAATAATTTTTAGTTTTATCACAATTTCTGTTCTCTTTGTGCAAATTTATGCAGCCATAACAGCCAAAGCATCATTTTCAAAACTATTAAAAAAAACGTTCACACAAAAAAAATCCCATCTACTCACCCAGTGCTTTTAAAAGATCCTCGAAATTTTCCGAAGACTTCATTTTCCATTTTCCGGAGAAATCTGTGACTTTATTCTCCATGATAGAAGTGTCAGAAGCTGCAGGACTGGTTGGTGCAAACTCCAGCTTCACTGGGAGTCTGTGCGCGTGTGCATGAGTGTGTGCAGACTGGCTGACTATTTCTGGACCCTCTCCCCAGTCTCCATCTACCTCTGCATTGATTGGCTGAGAGCTCTCCTGGATCTGGAGCTGATGCTGCAGCAGCCAATGCAGAGGCTGGTGTCAGGGAGGGACTTTCCCGCTGCACCGTCTCCTCCTCGGCCTCCACCTCTGTCAGCGTGGTGAAAGATTTGGACACGACCTGGAAAAGTGTTCCTGTAATGAGACCTTTGAAGAACTTGATGATGATCCACCCCCTGCATCAGTTCAGATGGTGCTAATTGCCTGAGGTGCTGGTGCCACGTTGGTGAAGAAGATTCATACAGTCTGTGAAAACTGTGAAAATAATAAAAAAAGGAGTGTGATTTGACATGTGGAGACACGTCTTTAAGCCTTCTCTGACGAGTTTTGTCATTGTGTCTTAAATCCTCAGCTGTTCATCAAACACAAACTTTTTTTTAAACCAGAGAAAATGCTATATGTTTTGAGGCCACATTTGAATGGAGAAAAATATATTTTTTACAAACATTTAAAAGAATCCCAAGACATCCCAGAATTCTACAAAGACAAGAAACCTCTTAAAGTCTAAACAATTCAACAGTTGTCAAAGAGCTTTGTTGTCATTTCACTCTGCACTGAACAGGAACCAAAACTTGGGACTAAGATCTTGGTGACAGTCATATGAGTTTTAGTTTCCGTTTTCTTTGAAATGGGAAAACTGCTTGGTAACAACACCAAACATCAGCTCCAGAAAGGTCAAAGCTGAGACTTTTTCTCATGGTATCACTTTTCATGTCTCACCTTCTGGCAATTAACTTCCTGATACTTTCCTGCCAATCCAGTATTTTTATATGACTAATGTCATGTAACGGTACAGAAGTGCCCCCCCCCCCACACACACACAAATGTTTTATTATAAATTAATTAACTCTTTTAGCTATGCCTTCTGTTTTCATGATGGGTCATAGCATGTCTCACCAACATCTTGCAAACCTTCCCTCTCACTCTCACTGGTGCCCTCCTCCATCACTCAGGACTGTTATCTTCACCCTCTTTAAAGACTGTTTGTTGTTTTGGACGGTTGACCTCAGGTATTTTAAACCCCTTAATGCAACATATGAGCAGTAACTTGTCTGTTATCAGTTTACCTCCAGGGAGTTCTCTAAGAATCCTTAATTCATCACCAAAATCAGTAAGAAAAATCAACACACTTTTTAAAACCACTATCATTGTATTAAAAGGAACACACTTTTAAAACCACTATCATTGTATTAAAAACATTTTACAGCACATTGGCTCGTCAGAAGTGACTGTCACACACTCTCTTCTTTGTTTCTCACACTCTTTAACCTGCTGCCAGGAATATGTCATCATGTATGCAGCAGAGAAGCCTGGAGAAACATGATGCAGACCATTCTTGCACCGTGATGGTATCACTACAGATTGTCTCCATATTTCTCCCTGTGGCACCATGCAAATGGGAAGAGCAGCATGGGAAATAACACTGTGTACTACAAACAGAGGAAGGGCTTTCAAAAAAGAACAAAAAAGAACCAGTGTCAACTGTGGTCGACCTCTGTGGATAATAGAAGCTCAGATGTTAAAGAGGGGACAACTGCCTCCTCCTCCTCCTCCTCCCCTCAATGATACCAGTCTACATAATATCAGATCCTGGTTTTCCTCTAACCTTTTCAAGCTTAGTGATAAAAGGGAACTGAAAATCACTTTTCTCCTCTGTACCTTTTCAATGCTCTGTCACAACAACAACACAAAACACACTCACACCCTCCCTTCCTCCCCCTTAGTCTGCTCTGCCGCCCCACAATCCCCAACATCCTGACACCAGAAAGGTTCAGTGCCTATTATTAAGCAACTGGTTATATGTCACTGCAGTACTAAATAATGTTAATGTAAAAATATTATTATTTTTAATAAAATGTGATTTAGTAATAACATTAGTGATAATAATAACAGTAACAGTAAGGACCACGCAAGGGAATAAGTGGTAGATAATGGGTGGATGATAATAATAATAATAGTTTTCATTAGATATTTACAGTATAGTTTCACAACCTCAAATGTCTGTTGTTTCCATTTCAGAGAAAATAAAAGCTAAATGTTGACTAGGGCGCCATCTAGCGTATCTTTAACCATCGTGGCTGCTTGCATGTGGAACCTTTTATCTCTTGTCGTTTCTACACGGTCCCTTTTACAACCAGGACCGACCTCATCATGGCGAGACACCTTCGCTTCATTTCTCGGACAGTGATGGTCCACGGCGAAAACGTTGACGGGGCCTACAGTAGCCTCAACAGGTAGATGTTTGGGAATAATTACAACTATTTCACGTTTAAATATTTACTAAAAGCATAGCAAGCGTTAGCTGAGAAGCCTTCTGCTCAATGTCACAGAGCTGCGGCTGCGCCGTTCCAACAACGGAAACAGATCATTCAAAATGTACTTTAAGAGATAATAGACACATTTTAAAAATCAGTATGTTCATATATGTTAGAAATGGTTTTATGGTCATCCTTCCCCTTGCCTTATTATTTCATTTAAATATTTAAATAAACGTTAGAAAGGGTTTTATGGTCATCCTTCCCTTTGCCTTATTATTTCATTTAAATATTTAGTAGTTACGTTGATTATTGAAACTTCCACTGTATGTTTTTGAAGTAGATATCCATTTGTTATTGCTCTCAGTTTAAGGCGTTTGTAAATGCCATTCTGAAGAGTTTATTTTAGTTTAACTTATCTGTTTAAAGTTTATTTATTTAGGAAATGATGAGGCATTTATAAGACAAATGTCAGATTACAGGCAAAAGAATAAACAGTCGGAGATGACAAACGCTGCCCTCGTGTGGCACTCCAAGGTACTGCAAAGATACAAAGGGATTACATTCTGTACCAATCTTTATTAAATAAATTGTATATTTATATAATGTAATTCATTAATAATAAAATGATAGAAAAAAGTTATCTGTTCAACACAGTTTCATGAACTCATTCGAGGCTTTTTTCTTTTATATACATTTTCTTGTTATATTACAGGATTCTTAACCAGGAAGGAATTATCGATACGGTGAGACGTCGGCGCTACTACGAGAAGCCCTGCCAAGAGCGACGCCGGCTTTGCTATGAGAGATGTAAGCGGATATACAACATGGAAATGGGCAGAAAAATCGCCTTCATCTCCAAAACTAACAGGAAGGATCCCTGGCTAGGCTGCTAGAGAACAGAACGTCGTCACTGTCGGTGACAGAGCTGGCAAAGTGAAGAAAACACATCAAAACGATAGACTGACAGTTTTGCTACAAAACAAAGTCACTAACGGCCTGCTGTTCTACAATATCATCTGTGTTAATGTACTAAAAGGTTACAAACATGAAGTTAAACATTGGCAACTTTTTATGGTCAATTACGTGCTATAGGGCTTTGATGTCCTATCACTTATCGACCCCAGGTTCCAGATGACTCAGTGTTCCCGTGCTGTGTAATTGTGTATTGCTTAAAAATTGTTCTGGAACTGAATGTTCTTGTGTAAACAGGAAGCCCTGATAATAAAAAAAATACAAACAAGTAAAGGGACAGCTATCTGGTTTCGTACGAGTTGACTTGCATCACTATAGACCACAGACAGGTACAATCACAGTGAAGTCATGTTATGATTATTACTACAATAATGGCCCGGCATCAGTGCCATCATTTTCAAACCTGTTCTTAAAGATATATTACCTGGCAGGGATTACAGCTGAGTTCTCCACACCCAAACCCATTGGCCCTGGTCACTGACATTCCTCTTTATTTCTGTTCTTCCCGTGACTACAGAAACCACTCATTCATTCATTTATTAATGGTCTGCCGCTCTTTTCTGTAAAAGGTTACAGGGTTTAATGAGGTCAAACCACTGGCTCTCCACCCACCAGTCACTTTGGATCCTTCAGTTAATGTCCAATCTTATGTCCGTGGACAAAACCAGGGTTCGTGGGCAGGAATAACATCTGTTCAACACAATCTGGTCACTCATCAGTGTTACACTGGATGGCTAGGAGCACAGTTGTTTATTCAAAGTCAAACACACATTGAACAAATAGATAAGGGTCTCTGATTCACTATACTGGAGACGGCATATGAGAACACCTTAGGTCACCTGAAACCTACTACACCCACTCTGCGTTTCTGCACAGCTTCCTGTCTGTCTTCACTGTACTAAAACATGCAGGTTAATTCTTGATTTCTTTCTGTCAGGACAGCCAATAACACTCAAGGCAGTGCCATCGAAACTAGGACTGTGGCCTTGTCTGTCTAGTTTTGTCTAGAACATAATTTGTGATAAACGTTGTTGATGCGAGTATGTCTCTATTTCTGTCTCAGGGAAGTGAGTAACACTCATGACTCTCACCAGTGCTATGAAGCACCTTCATTAAAATGTCACGTTCTGCAGATTTATTACAGCCAACAAGTCATTTACTGCGGGCGTCTGCATAAAAGGTTTTTATAACAACAATTATAATATTTGATTGGGGTTATTAGGAGAAGCTAATGAATCGCTGCTGTGAACTGCCAACCTGCTGTGAAACCTGTTTTGTGACAGCAGTAACCATCAACAAAGCAAACAGTATTTAATATTTTACTTTACCTACAAAGGAGATGGTACAAAATAATTCAATCAATCCACACTGACTAGATACTGCAGGATAAGCAGCAATCCAACTGGATTGTCCAACAAAAGCCCATCATCTCGGCACCATCAGTAGTGGTCACAGTACAACAACACACTTTTGAGTCCCAACTGTTAGTTTGAGAGAGTTGGCGGTAGTTCAGATAATAAAGACAAAAAATAGCAATAGAAACTGGATCAACTTGACAGTGCCATGGGAAATGGGCAAGAACATATTTACACATTTAATTATAAAATACTAGAAATAATTTAGGACATGGACACAGGTATACATTTATATTTCTCCATATAAAAACGGAGGATGCTATGACCGGCAACACGCTCTAAACATGTTGATTTATGTTCCAATCAGGGTTTTCGATCCTTTATCTTAACTTCATATATATTTACTGTCTTTGAGGTTAAAATAGCTTCTTGGGTGTAAATATTTGTGTTTCAGGGAGACAGAAGAAGGACGATGATGATAAAGTATTTCTCCTCTGCTTTGCGCCTTGTAACACGCAGTCACGTGCTGTCATTGATGTTGTTTTATCACCTTTAGCCACAGTGCTGGAATGCTAAACATTTGCATCGTGCTCGTTCTCCACACTTCCACGGCCACACCACCGACACGTGCTGCTCTCCACAGTCGGTCGATGGCGGCGCGCTCAACGTCCAACCGGCGCCGAGGAGGCCGCTGATTGGTCAAGCCTCTGAGTCTCGTGCGCCCACAGCGTACGCGTGGTAAGCCAATAGTGGCGCAGTACAATTTAAGCACGTGTCGCGTCCGTTGCGCTCCGTGGGTACTTGATGTGCTGCAGGTGGAATACGTGACCAAATAAACCGAACACGAGCGCGAAGAGGAGCAGTGGGAGGGCGTGGAGAGAGACAGGAGAACAGCAGGCGTAGTTACCGGAAAACACGTCCGTGGTTAAATACAGCTGTTTATCAAGTTTTTCACTCATTTACAACTTGATCTTCAAGTGTGAGGTGTCTTTTCAAAAGCTGCCGCTCTGTTTTGACACAAAATTCTGACTGTTGTTCATTTTCTGCTTCGATTTCAAAGGTAAGAGCTGTTATTACGTCTCTTTTACGGTAATATTGGCTGCTTTACGTGTTTAAAGGCAAACGTATTTACTTATAATTTTCCACAATACGGGCATTTGACATGTACGTCTTTACTGTTAATTTACTATATTATTAAATAGTATATTATATAACTTTTATATTATGCACTGAATTTACCAGGCTCCAAGTCAAAACAGGCTTATTTTATTATCATTGCGGTAAAATATTTTTATATTAATAATATTATTGTTGGCGTTATTAACACACAACTGCGTTTTTATTTTAATTTACACATTTTGCAAGCAACCTGACAAAACTTTGGTTTTCTCTTAAATAATAATCAGTAGTTACCTAACTGTAACCCAAGCCTTACCGCGTCACCTTACCTTATTAGAGAGAGATATAGATTGTATTGTAACTCATTAAGACAAGTTTTGTCAACATTTAGACTACTTCGAAATGACATTTAAAATGCATATTTATTAAAATACCCTAACAAGTTTATTTTCAAGGTTTCACAGAATGTAATAGGATTTTTAAAAAATCCTATAAAACTTTAATTGTATTATTTAAAAACTAAATAATATTGAACTTGGGTTCAATTCAACCACTAATTTGAATACATTCTACACTTTATTCTTTACTGTAACCAGAGTTTCAGAACTAGGATTCCTTCTCATTAGGAACTCATTTTTGCTATATATTCTCATGTTATTTAACCCTAGCATGAAATTAAATTTAACTTGTAACGTAGAAACAAAGGTGTGACATAAGAGAAAGAAACCAGAAAAGGTTGTAATGAGTTAACAGAAATGTGTGCACAGTTTGCACATACACAAAAACACATTGCTGTCATTTGACATTTGATATTAGTGTCCTGTGCCAAGACAGTAAAAAGCTGAGCACAGTCAGCGCTCAGTCACTGCTCAGTGTTTAACTATCAACAAATAACCTAATGTGGAAATGCTGTCTGTTAATGTAGGATTTATGCTCTCTCTCTCTCTCTCTCTCTCTCTAATGCTGAGTTAGGACAGGAGGAAAATACCAGTTCTAAATCTAGATTGTGTTGTTACACATTGGTCTAATATTTTACTGTGGCAGTTCCTTTACCCCATTTCCCACCTGTTAGGTCTTTACTTTGTTTCTATTTGTTATTATAATTAGAGCAGTTGACTTGATCAGTCCTCTTACTAAATATGTTTGTTTGGAGATAATAGCTGGTAATAACCCGGTCTTTATACATCCTGTACTCTGTTATTCCAGTGGATTAACGCACTTGTATTATGTAACAGTATTGCTGTTGAATCTGAGGATCTCCTGGTGAAGCAGGGGTTACACAACTTAATTAAAACCTTAATTACAATGGAAATTGAAAAGCTCTCTTTTAAAAAAATGTGTATTTCTAATAAGTTGCACAAATTTAAAATAAAGTAACAGTATCATATTTCTTTACAAATACAGATACTGCTGAATATTTTAAAGGAACTTCTCAACAGTGACATAACCATTATGTAATTTGCACAGCTGAAAGAAACAAACATTCCTGATGAGCAACGTCTTCTGATTTAAATACTGTTTCCCTACTTGTCACCTTTGGCCAAGTTCTATAATAATATCAACGCTAGGATGTCTCCATGGCTTGTTTCAGGCTACATGAGCACAAACTAGGCACAAGGTTAAAATTGGATAACCAGTTGTCTTTTATATATGGACCCATTCCCCCACATTGGTCCGAATGTGATACTCCTAATCTCTGCTCTCCACAGATGGATTCGTGGGGAAAGTTCTCCAAGTGGCTGTCTAACGACTCGATACCCGTTGCCCTGAGTGAGAGTGAGCAGACTGAAGACGAAGCAGACACTTTCTCAGACAGAGAGGGCCATGGTGCAGGAGGAGAATCTCTCTCAGCTGATGAATATGATGAGTTATCTTCCTATTTGGGTCCAACGCCTTTAAGATTAAAGGGCGACCAGTCTAAAGACTGCAGTGATGACACAGAGTGTCCGGACTCTGGTCCTCGAGCCACTGCATTACCGCCAGTAACATCAGGCGACCGTGTCTTTGCTCAGAAGGTGAGGACACTTATTGTAATTTGTGGGTTATAGTTTCAGTGTTTTCAGACTAATGGCTGACTGGATGTTCTATGCTTTTTATTCTTTCAGTGTGCAGATTTACATAGGTTTAATCAACCGCTGCTTGAACTTCTGGATGGACTGAAGACTGGACGATTTGACAAAGGTATGTGTAAACTGAATTCATGTTACATTACAGACTTCAGTTAACTCTGCAGGTGGCTGTTTAAATGGTATTGTAATTGTCTTAGGTTTAACCAGTCTGCAGCAGAGTGTCGCCATTGACAGACTGCAGAGGATTCTTGGAGTTCTACAGAGGCCTCATATGGGGTAAGGGCCTTTCACTAAGTATTTTGAAGGATGTAATATATTTAACTGGCACTCCAATCACTCCATTTAATGCTTGTTTTATCTGCAGTGAGAAGTACCTCCAACATCTACTACAAATAGAGATGATGCTGAAAATCTGGTTCCCTCACATAGCGTATCCGACCTTGGACAACTCTAAAGGCACTAAAATTCTCCCCCCACACTGGTGTCAGAGTCAGCTTCACATACCAGTAAAGGTGAGAAAAACTTCTTAAGAGTGTCTGTCAAAGAAAGGCCTAGCCAGAAGGATGTAGGTTGAGCTGCTGTTAACTAACAAGCATATGGCACCAATAAATCTGCTTAAAAAAAGGCCTAAAAATGTGCTGCTTTTTATAAACTGTTGTACTTCCATAAATATGAATGATTTTGTGCCAATGCAGGAGGAAACTGCTTCTCACTTTAATTTGATTGATTACAGCTTTAAACCTAATGTCAACCTAATGTTATTGACATAAAATGTTTTATTTCCATTTGTAGAAAAGAAAACTGAGCTGTTTGGAGCAGGACCACACCAGCCACCCACTAACCAAGCATGAGCAACATCACCAGAAAAACTCCTGTCACCACTGCCAGGTTTCCACTTCAGTTGACACTGTTTCCACCTGTGGGCCAGGGTCACTGAAGAAAAGGAAAACTACAGGGGAGGAAGAAACTGAGTGCAGCTGCAGTGTTGCACATGTGTTTACGGACAGCCCCGAACCCTTAGGCAGAGCATCATCAAGACAAGACAATCGGAAGCAGACTGAGATTTCTCCTCCCTCCCACTGTGACAGCCAAGCTACACAAGACAGCTTTGTCTCATCCAGTGTCACTGGGGCTGCAAGTGAATCACCATAGCTGGACTTACATGACCTTGCTACCACATGGAGGTGCCATAACTTGCCAACCAACAGGAGGGCAGAGGACTTGATTACATAAGCACAGAACTACGTGCAAAGTCAGTTTATAATGGCTGCGTGCCATTAAACCGGAGGAGGAGGTGGGGAAATACAGACACTCCTAAACTCCAACTACCCTGTTTACTTTAGAGGTATTGCACTAACTATAGTCATGAGGAACTGTATGGAGCTGTGCACAAAAAGAAAATTAGCCTAAATTTAATTATTTTTACAGTATTGCTTGAGTTTTTAAATGAATTTAAATTCCACATTTGTAAAGATACTGGCTTTTATTCTGTAAGCATTATTTTACTTAGCATACAGATCCAAAATTATTTCTCTAAAAATACCAAGGTCTAAAGGTATAGGTATAGAAAGAACCATTATGGAAGATGGTTGTAAGACACTTTAAAGCCACCCTCCCTCCTGACTTAACTATATTTTCGTTTGTTATACTTTAACTCGTCACAATGGAATGAATGTAATACTAGAGCATTAAAAAGACAGTTGACTTGTTGAAGGGTGAAAATTTAGAATTTAGAATGGAGTTTTATCACTCAAAGTGCGTCAAATTAATTACTGAGCAGTAGATGGTGCCATTGAACCAAATCCCGTCTCCATTTCTAAACCTTTGACAATATAAAAGCACCTGGATTTCTGTTCTGTTCTGTTTTAGCTGTTATCATTCATGTTGAATGGCATTTTGTCTGTTAAGCTGTCACCAGTCAGCCTTAAAGGTACAAGAAATATGCCGAAGGTAGCATTAACATATTGTAGCATATCAGGTTTAATTATATGTATTAATAATTATTATTCCAATGGCATCTCCTAAAGTTAGCACATAATGTTAAGCATGTGAAGAGAAAAACAGAATTGTGCAATGTTATTTCAATGCATTTACATTTGAAGTTGGGAGTAAAAATACAATTTGTTAAAATGATATCGAAAGTCTTATTGCCAAGTTGTGTTGCTAACAGTTTTTATTTTATTTTTATATTTTCGTTTGGTTGTTTATAAGTGTTTTATATGATGTGAGTACCAATGTTGACTTAAATAAATTGTTCACATATTGTGATTTGCAAATTTTGTTCTTACGATGTGTGTATACATGTTTATATGTAGTTTAAATACAAAGTGTACTGTCAAAATTATTAATTAAATCTATGGACTGCATGTAAAGATGCAGCCATACAAAAGTTGTAATAAAATTGCAAAAAACAAAAAACATTTGGGTTATCAAAAACAGTTTTAGATCAGAATTGGCCAAAATAAATCGACGTATTTTTTTCTTTTTCAAATTTGAGCTTTAGCTGACGATTAAAAAAAAGTTTTCTTCCGTGACACATGAGGGCGCTATAATGACGCTTTGTTTGCGGAAGTGTCCATCACTTCTCCAGCAACGAGTAAACAGACTCAGTGATACACAGAGCTAAGTTGTAGCTTTGAATTTTTGCCATTTCTGTGGTTAATTGATATTGGATTTAACAGAGGAACCCTTATCGGAAGCTTTATACAAGGAGCGCTACATTGAAAGCTTTCCTTAGGCAAAATAGTTACAATGTCAGCTGCACGGTTGGTAACGCTCTGTCTTGGGGTAACATGCTAAGCTAAGTGCGAAGCTGCAGTAGTAGTGGAATGGTGGAGCGAAACGGCGCCAGCTTCTCCGGTCATGGCAGCGGGAGCAACAGCCGCTCATGGCGGCTCCATGGAATCTACCATAACCAGGAAGTTTCAGAATATCACAAACACAATGGACTCGATCCAAGGACTGTCAGCGTGGTGCATAGAAAACAAAAAGTACCACAGCGTGATCGTGCGACACTGGATTAAATGTTTAAGGAAATGTAAGTAAATTCGCTCGATCTTAATGGACCTGTGTGCTTTGGCCATTGTCGTGTAGTATGTTTTGAGAAGGAGTCGTTCAGTTTTTCCTGTTTCTAATGTTGGATAATAACTGGGTATTTGTACTTTATCACGTAGATTGTCTAAAGGTAGCGTTGTTACACAAATCCATATGATTCTAGTATAATTTCGTTATGCTCATTGACGAGTAATATATATATATATATAAAACATTATTGGTTATTTTGAAAATTTGAGTCATGTTTTTGTATTGCAAGCAGGTTACGTACCGACATCCGGCCCATAAATGTTTATTGTGACTATTACATTTCTGCTTTGTGATCATTTTATTATTTGTGTAACTATTGACTCCTCATTTGTAAAGATGGACAAACTAAACTAACTTCTCAAATTATAATTTGGACAGTAACTTTTATGTGTTCTTTTTGTGTTTAAATTATGTGGCCATATAACTTATGTTATTTCAAAAGATCTTTTTCAGATTACTTACACAGTGCCATGATTACCTCTACTCCACCTACTACTTTATATATATACTTTATATTTTAATATTACCATACTAATGTCATGATGCTCTTGGGTTTATCCAGGTTGTTGTGGAAGCAGTTGAACTTTGATAGTTTCTGTAAAAGACATTTATTTTATTGTAGTGACGATGTGTTCACATCAACAGTATTTGAAAATTCTAATATTGCTGCATGAAACAAAATTGCATTGGCCTATCTTGCTTTAAAAACCCCACAAATTAAATTGGACACTCCAGGCACCCAGGGACCAGTTTGTGGTTCTTGCTGAACACATCATTGAACACACCACAACTCCGCATATTATATTAAAAAAACGGTCTTAGTCTGACGCCAGAGTACCCACAGGAATTCAGTGTTACCCATGTTGGTTTGCCTTTCACAGTCAGTGCAGCAGCAGATGGCTCACTGACAGAGTGAGGATGTTTTCATGTGTAGAAGTCAGTTGGTGAACCCATCTGACTTCCTGTGCAGCATTACACAGGTTGAATATTGGCCACATTTATTAAGTTTGGAAATTGTCATTGTTAACTGATTGAGCTTTAAGAGTATTTCACTTTTATTTAAGACTTTCAACCAATGCATAAATCTTAAAGCCAAAATTTAGACTGTAAGTGTTGTCAATGAAGTAGTATGGTTTAAAATGTTTGAAAGAAGCCTTCTCCATCAACTTAAAAGAATATGAACTCAGTGGAGACATTAGAGAAGTGTGTGTCTACTCTGAGGTCTAGTTGACACATTACAATCTTTTAAGATTTGCTAATTAGCTTTGTCCCTTTGCTGGCTGTAATGATACTCATATACACTGTCACTAAACTGAAACTAAGTGAGCTTTATCTTATTATTAAGACATAACTAGTGAGGTATTCACCCCACACTGGTTAAATATCTGTGTTGAAAAATTGGATTGGCTGTAAAAGCATAGTTGAAACACTGTTGAGTTCTGTGATGCTAACGTACATGTACTTGATTGGTCTGCACACACTCTATGTCTGTGTACTGTTATTGTTGTCTGCTTCACTATGTGAAAAAAAAATCACACTAAGAAGACCAGAAACTATTGAGTATGGGTGATAAAATTGGTTGTGTCCCAACATTCTGGCAAGTATTGCAGGTATGAACTTAATTGAGTTACAATTAGCAAATTGGTTTAGGTCTGTCAGTAAAGACAGCGACAATCCCTATCATTTTGCCTCATAAATAAAATAAAAGTTGAAGCCCATATTTTTTTTTATTTTATTGCACGTTTTCTAAAGTGTACTAGCTTTTGTAACGGAATAGGATTGTAAGTAAACAGTGTTTTAGTAATGCAGGTGTGACTAAGTTATATATTTTTGTTGTTTTTTTTTTTATCAGAAAAATATTAACGAATGATTGAAAACAGAGATTATCTCTTTATGTAAACTCATTGACTTGTGCTTCTGTTCTTTGTTCTCCTGCAGCCGATTCCCCGTACAGACTGAATTTGTTTTACGTCGCCAACGACATCATTCAGAACTGTAAAAGAAAAAACGCCATCGTATATCGCACAGAATTTGCCGAGGTCCTCCCCGAAGCCTTCGTGTTGGTCAAGTAAGTCATTTTTATGATATGAAGCGATAATCTTTTCCCAGGCCGCCCTGTTTGTCCTCTAACTTCCTGTCAGCCTCATTCTCTGCTCTCCTCACTTTCTCCGTCTCTTCTGCCCTTGTCTGTGTTTTATTCATGCAAAAGGAATCCCTCATACATAAATAAAGCAAATGTCATTACAACAACATAAATCTCTGGCCTCTCCTGTTCTTGCTCTTGTCATCTCCTCTCCTCTCTCTCTCTCTAGCCATGAAGGTGACACGAAGGTTATTAAATCAGTGGACAGGATACTGTCCATCTGGGAGGACAGAGGAGTGTATACAGGGACACTTATTGCTGATCTGAGGGGAAGTTTAATTAAAGAGGGGTCCCCTCCTGAGACACCAGTGGAGCAAAAAAGTAAGAGTGCCAGTTGATTTATTTAACTTGTAACATTATCACTGTTACATTTCCCTGCTATGCTAAGGAGTATTCTATTTAGCCTTTCCAACATTACCAAACTTACAAGATAAATAATCAATTTATTTATCCATTTTTTCAGCTCCCCAAGATTCTAAAGCAGATCTACAGTCTAAGATCGTTGCAGAGTTTGTAGTAAGCAAAAAAAAAACTTCTCAACACTATTGTTTTCATATTTTTCTTTTACATAAGTTGGCAAACAGTGTCTCAACTACTGTGTTCTCCTCACACTGAGTGACTGCTCCATCTGCTTCAGCCTCAGGCACTAATAGACCAACTGTCCAAGTACAAGAGATCTCTGGAGGAGCTGGACCTGCGAGAAAAACAGCTGGCAGCAATGAGGGTTGATATCTGCAGCTCTGGTGCCCTCAAGAAACTCAAAGGTTCAGGAGAAAGTCTTTCTATGCTTCTCCACTGTCTCAGAAGTGATTCTGATGTCTCTTTTAAATGTTTTTTTTTTTTCAGATAAGGCTGGAGGGAAGAAATTCTCTAAGGACTTTGAGGAAGCTAATACACAACTGCACGATTTTGTCAAGTTTTTTGATAAACAAAGTCGTACTGGACCGCCTCTTCTTGAGGCTCTCGCTAATGCAGACATCTTCTATGAGATGCAATACAATGAGGTCAAGATCGTGGCTAATGTAAGGATCACATTTGTCTGTCATTGTCCTTGTGTTCCTTTTTTAACCCGTTATATTTTAATGTGTAAAAAAAGTTTGTGTTCATCAAAGTTATTTATTCATCATTGTTCCCCTCTGAAGGCCTACCAGACGTTTGCTAACAGAGTGTCCCACCTCAAACGTAAGCTGGACTCGCTTAAGACCACTTTGCCAGACCTGGATGAGTCGCCCATACCTTCGCCGTCTGCAGATGCTCCTTCTCCCACAGGGTCGGAGTCTCCTTTCCACGGCATGGAAATAAGTCACCCTGATCCCGATCTGGATGGCTCCGCCATGGATGACGATTTGGAGCCGCCAGCCCCGAGCCCTCTGTCCTCAGTGGGAGAATCTCCATCACAGACGGAGAATCTAGGAGACAATGACAATCGTGAGGTGGAAGACATGGAGCTCTCCGAGGAAGAGATGGAAGGTGTTGGCATCATAGGTGAGGAATTTGTGGGAGTCTGGTGCATTTTGTGCATATGTCAGATCCAGTTCTCTGGTATAAAGGTTTTTTTAAAACATGTTGAAGTAATAAAATAAAACACTTAGGTAGGTGAAGAAAAATAACCTGGATTAGCACAGGATGGTTGTTTTGGTAAATCACAGGATTTTTAAATAATCATTTCTTCTGTACAAATGTAGGACTGTCTTGAGGAATCTGTCTTAGAGAACAAGCTGGTAGTTGTTTGTCAGGAAAACTTTGAGCAAAGATTGTAACACTCCTGCCGTTGTGTGCTGCTCTGTATTTTCAGCAATATTATGTCTTGATTTGTGGTTGCACATTTCATTACTCATTACGTCTTCCCTCTCCTCAGTGGAGCAGCAGATGGAACAGCCTGCCAACCCAGAGGAGTCCACTCCAGCGGAAGAAAATAAGGAGCCATCGGTAGCAACGGAGCATCCTGCCACACAGGTCACACCCCCTGCGGCTGCTCCTGCCACCGTTGTGGAAAATGTTGACCTGGGTAAAATTGGCTCCATCCTCAACAGTTTAAGCTCAGTCATAAAACACTCAGGTGAGCCAGTGCTGGTGGCCATTCTGGCAGAATTTATTAGATGTAATAAAAAGGAAATAAAAAGTCTGAAATAGTTTGCTATTTTCTCTGGTCAGAATTCAATAAACTGCAAAATAGTGCTATAGTTTTTTTTTTATTATTATTATTTGCACTGCTGGTGATCAGTTGGAGTCTACTCTGGGAGACAAAACATGCATGGTTGTTTAAAGGATTTACTGCATTTTGTTGGGTTCACAGCTTATTAGAATTTATGTAAGTTTTTCTGTCTTTCCTGCAGAAATGTCAATAGAAAGTCCTCCGGCATCTGCTCCTGCTGCCACACCTGCTCTCTCCGTCAACTCTCAGGATGCGTCCTCACTAGTAAACCTTCTTTCTAAGGTGGATGTGAGTCCTTCAGACCTCCTTAGTGCTTTGTCAAAAGTCCAAAGCCAAAGCAGTTTTGGAGGTGAGAAATTTAGAAAATGTATCTTAAATATTTGGTCCGTCACAATCGCCTGGCTTAAAAATATTTTTTCCCCCTTTTCTTAGGTGTCACCTCTGTTCAGAGCAAACCTGTCCCAAATGTGTCCTCATTCTCATCCAGTTCAGACAAGATTAATCATGTGTCCATGTCTGCACCAGCAGTGACCTCTCAGAGTGTCTCCGTCCCCTCTATTGCTGCAGTGACTTCTTCCCACAGCCCTACTGTGACACCGAGCACAAACTCCCATGTCCCTCCTCAGACTCCTAACCAAGCCTCTGCCCTGGTTCAGGCTCTTCACAGAGACATGGAATTAGCAGCAGAATCTGAACCGTCCTCAACTTCTCAGAGTTTGGAGTCAAAAATCCACAACTTCCTTCAGGGAAACCCTGCCTTCAGTGCATTTGACTTGACTTTTTCTGGTAACCCAGCAGCAGGGGAAAATATCAGCCCGGGAACTGGTACAGACACCCAGGATGGAACTCCAGTGAGGGACGAGGGAGGAAGCACCCCGACTCAAGATGAGATTATGGACAAACCCACAGTGGTCCCCTTCTCTTCCAACACAAATGCACCGTCTGCCGTAGATAGTTTTAGAAAGGCTACAGTTTTGTATCCGAATAGCACTCAGATCAACATCAGCAGTTCCCAAGAGCAGACGCAGAACGGACAGGTTTACCCTCCACACCCGTCAGAGCACAGGATTTCAACATGCTACCAACAGTTTTCTGCTCCACCAGGAGGTCCCGTGCCTGGAGAGGCAGCTCCTGGCCCAAAGACAAATGAAGGATTCAAAGGGCTGAATGAAATGAGTTGGTTTAGTGAAACTTACCCACAGGGGAGCGCTCAGCAACATAGACCATACGGTGTGACCGCACCTGGGAGTTCTGGAAGAAATCAGACAACAGGACTGTATCAGTTCCAGACAGAACAAAGTCAGCAGCATCAAGAGTCCCTTCCCCAGCAGAGCACTGCTCAGTCTTCTCGTTTTTTCAGCAACAACCTCCCTCCTGTCCCAAAGTTACCACCTCCTCCTCCATCACAAGCCTTTGAACCTCCTCCAACAAGGATTCCTCCAAACAAGCAGATGATTAACAGTCCAGGGGAAATACCTGGCATGAGAACTGACAGTGCGATCAGTGGGATGATCGTGCACGACCATCAGCACAAGTCCATGTACACTCCTGAAGACCCACCATTCAATCCTGACCAACATCACCCTCGTTACCCTGAGAATTTACACCCTCAACGAGATGACATGCAGTATCACGATGAGCGCTACAGTCATGATCCCAGTAACTTCCAGGAAGACCCTTTCCAACACCCAGATGATCCATATTTCAGACAAGGCAGCCCCCCACGCTTGTTCCCAAGAGGTCGTGGCATGCATCCAGGACCCTCACCTTCAGCGGACCCTTTTTACACCGAATACCCACAACCTAACCCTCCTCAACACTTCATGCCAAGAAGACCACTGCCACCACCCCGACCTCATCTTGAGCCACATCACCCTGGTCCTCGACCTCTACGTATGCCTCTCCACCCTGGGCTCCACCCACCTCCCAGGGGACCTCCACGTGCTCCATTTCCTCCTCGCTTCCATGGTCCCAATGCAATGCTAAGAGGCCAACGTCCAGGACCCCCAGGTCCCCCAAGAGGAGGAGGTATAGGAGGAAATCCTGGTCCGATGTTTCCTCCAAAGAGGCCTTTTCTTCCACCACGGTACTGAGTTGAAAAGCTACCCAGAGGCATCTGAAGTAGCAGTTGTGAGTGGAAAAAAGTGCAGATGCTGATGTTGGAATCCAGAGGAGGAGGTTGTACTAAAGTAAAACTTTCAGCAGCCAAGAAAAAAGGCAAGGAGACAAGGGCGGTTTCACGATCAACACCATCAGAGGCTGTGAGAGGAGCTGCCGAGGTGGAGAGCAAAGAGAGAAGATGGAAGGAAATAAAAGGTGGATATATTCATATAATACACTTTTTTGTTTTATTTGCTCCAGTAATTGAGTATTTAATTGATTATGTAAATTTAGCATCAGTTTCATATCAGTGGCTGTGCACATGGTGTGAATGTGTGCATGCAAAAAAATAATAATAGCTACTCAAAATTTTCCTCCAGGTTGGGTCAGATGATAGTTATTTTTGCTAAGAGAACAGAATCTTGTAGTTTATGCAGACTGTGCTGTTGTTTAGTTTTTCACTGGGCAGTTATTACTGCTCTCTTTCCTACATCAGAATACTGCTGTAGGTTTTTGTTAATTTATCAATTTAATTTTCCATTTTATTATAAGAAGAGAATATCCATGCATTTTTACAATCGTGCACAGCAGTAGTTATACAGCCTAACTTTTATGGTTAGACATATGAAGGGCTGGTTCAATGTTCCTTTTGCGAAATGTTATGTTTGTGAAGCAGTTCTTTCTCCACGAGTGCGTAAAATCAATTTGGTCAAAGTTTTACGACTCGGTGAGTTTCTGGACGGAGACTGACACAAGTCAGAGGAAAGGAAGAATGAGCGACAAATCTCCCACTTCACCCCAGACTCCACTCGACCCAACCATCCAACCCAGAAGAAAAATCAATTTTTGGAGAGGATGAAGATTCTCGGCTTCAGTTTATTTTACTTGTACTGACTAATAAAAATATGAGTTTAAAAAAGTGTGTTGTTTTTTCTTCACTGATCCCAGGACTGTTGCTCCACTGCGTTTACAAATGCGGCCTCCAGGAAAAACTGCCAGACATCCTAAAATTACAATTAGTACTAAAATGTGTACTTTGGTGATGCATTTGAACCTGCCTTTAACTTAACTTTATTTAACCAAAAATCTATTTTTTTTTTAGTTTGATGAATGAAGAATTCAGCTGAAGGAGAATCAAGGACTAGGTTTTTGGTTAAGCTGGGGTGGGTTTAGTCACTGATGCTGAACTATGCAAGAGAAGATTTCTTTCAACAAATACTTTACACTTTAGGCACCGGAAACATACTGTGTATAAAGTGTAAAGATTCAGTGAGAAATCACTGTGCATAAAGACCAAGGGCAGAAACTTCTGCTCAATGTGCGTACAAACAAATGAGGAGATATTTTGTCGCTGCTCAATGTGCGTGACTGTACAAACAAATGAGGAGATATTTTGTCAATGCCTTGTGGCTCGATTCTTTGAACTGACAACAGTTGGTGATAAGGATCAGTTCCACAAATGTGTACTTTCAAAATAGGTGTATGTTTAACGTCAGTGAAAACATTACAAGTATTTCCTTTTAAGCATTTGCAATATTGATTAAAAATGCATCACCAAATTACAGATTTTTCTTCCTTAATCCTATGTCTGTGTCGACTGTTCCAACCTTTTGCATATAGAGATTGGTTCGTGTCAAAAATGCTTGGTCATCATTGGAATCGGTCAGCAAACATAACGGTTACATAAAGTAATCATCATTTTAACCAGAGGTGGTTCATCTACCCATGTAAAACTCTGTACTCAGCTCAGCAGATATGATTGTTCAGTTGCCAGGGCCTTAAAACACTTCAGCATAAAATTGGCTTCAAACTCATTTTTTGATTCATAGAAGATTTTAAAAAAAGATTAACAAACCGAGTTTTATTTAGTTAGGCATTAAAATCCCTAGTAAAAATTTAAATGGAATTTATTGGAATGGAACAAACAAATATTGTAGGTTTGATTAATGTTTGTTAAATGAACATAATTTAAGGTAATCCCAATTAGTTTTCTTCTAAAATCTGATACATATGCCATTTGGAAAACTAAGTATTCTTATCAGTTGAAATTGTTCATGATCTAGATTCATTTGAAATGTTAAAAAAATGTCGATAGACATGATAATCTTTTCTCCAGACTGTGAACCAAGCTGTCGCCAGATGTTAGTTTTCTTTTACGAAAGCACTCAGACTGTGGAGAAACTGTTGAACACAGCAGACCTTCAGTCACATTTACAGTTCTTCACAGTCTGTCCAGGGAGTCAGATTATGTTTGTTCATTGCTCTCATTGTAAACAACAGTGATGTACCTTTTTGAGAAAGAAATCTTTAGTTTTGTACACAGAACTTCCATCTCTTGAATTGTAACCAATTTTCTGTCTCACATCTTACACCCCTTCCCCCCCTTCTCTCTCTCTCCCTCCCTCTCCCCCTGTTTCCATCCTCAGGGAAACCAGAGCCACTCTTTGATGTGTTTGATGTGATGGCAACTTTTCCTCCACAAATTCACTGATGAAGGTGGGAGGAGGGCGTCACTGTTGCTGTGTTTGTGCCTGTCATGTCTAAATTCTGCACCACCTCCAGTGATGGTGTTTTTCTGGTCTGACATGACTGCAGCTGTGTAAGCCTCCACGTTAACATATCAGGAACAGAAACAGCAGCAATAAATCAGAGGCAGCTGTACACACAGAGAAAATAAGATGCTAATCCTGTTTCTCTTTCTGTCACTCAAATGTTTGAAGGGCATCACAGAAGATGGCGTAGACAGAGAGGCCAGTGTGGCGTAAGTACAAGAGGTCGAACACCAACATTTTCAACCCAGTCAGTATAAAAATAAAGTGATATTATAATAAAGAACCAATGTTTATATCAAATCATAGTGCCATGTATTGAGCCAATTAGATCATGTTGGTTAATGTATTTCCTTGTCCTACCTTAGCCATAAAATAAAATTAACATGAACTAAAGAAGGGCTCTTAACAACTGTTAGAATGCAGATGAACTTAAATAAAACCAAACATTAAATCAAAATTAAGGCCCAAATATATTTAGACAAAAATAGGACTTTCGATTATTTAGAAAATAGAAGTCTTTGCTGTTTTTAAATTAAATGCCATCTGAAATGGCTTACGTCTGGGCCTGTTCCGATTTTAGGCTACCTTTTACATTAACACATTAATTGCTACACTATGGAACCGACATGTGTAGCGGTTAGTACCCCTGCCTCACAAGCAGAGAGCAGAGAGTCCTGGGTTTGATTCCCAGAGGAACCACACGTTTGGTGCCTGCTGGGGGCAGCCTGTTAACAGCATATCTGACGTTAACACAAGAATTTTACAAATATAGGATCAATAGAGTTAAAAAAAAAATTAAATCAGAGAACTGAGCCTGGTCTAGTTCATTCAGACCAGCCCATGTGGCTTAACCACCTACAGGAAGTGTTGCACGTTAAAAGTCACAGTATCCCCTATCCTTACTATTCGGGTGTTTGGTTGTAACAGAGCACATCTACACATGTCTAAATGTATTAAGCTCCTGTCATTTCTACCTGTAATATAATATGGATGTACGCAAAGCGACCAACTAAACACTGAAAATACATGTTCAAAAGAAATAAAATACTACTTCTACAGTTTGTCTAATTTACATGCTGCCCACACTCCAATACGTTAGTATTGAAAACATTAAACCCGTCACGACTAGTGTCCGTATTTCGTCACCAGGTGTCGTTGTCGGTCACACTAATAGAGGAAGAAAACGTCAACCATTGTCAAAATGACAGAAATCACGTTTTCAAAACAAAACAAACAAAAAAACAAAACACTAGGGTAACTATACTAAAAAAACAAACAAAAACAAAACACTAGGGTAACTATACTGAAACATTCATATGGACCTGATCAGAACCAGCACAAGTCGCTCAGCCACGCCTCCAACAGTGGGTGAAGGGCGGAAAGCAGACGGGATTTAGGGGCAAATGACAGATGGCAGTCTTAGCGTTAGAGACAAGCCAAGGAGATTCGGCTGAGCTGCTGGGAATAAAAGATTAAATGTTTTTGTGACAGACCGTCACAAAGACGAGTGAGAGGTTCGACGTGTTAATAACGTGGCTTTCACTAAAACAGCTCCAGATCGTGACTGCCCTGAAGTAAAGTGTGCGCATGTCGGGCGTGTGCAGCCTGTTGTCATGTGGGCTCATTGTTTACATGCTGTCGTGATTTTACGTAAGAGTGTGTTTGTGTGTCTATGTGGAATTGAGTGTCCCTGCTTATGGGAGCACACTGGTGGAAATAGTATCTTTTTTCCACATCATGCCCAAATAATGAATCAGAAACTGAGTAGAGCCATTTCAGGACCACGGCCAGCTCCACCGCGAGAACAAAAGGCGGATTTACATCGCTTGATGTCAGGGACCGTCTGCTTCTTCGCTGGGCACGTAAAAACGAAGAAGGCAACCGTTAGAGAGCAAACGCACATAGTGTGCCTTTTTCTGCCAAACAATTATTGAATAGAATAAAAATTAAAACTGCGTCTGAGTTGTATTATCAACTTGTTTTGCTAATGTAATGCTAATGATTCAGTGACTTTTACAGACATGAAGTCCTGGATGTTGTTGTAGTTGTGTTGAGTGGTAGGAACTCTTTTAACTGCAAATTAAAATTGCATGGAAATAAAACTGAGACTTGTGTACATTATAATCAAAAACAATACTTGCCTGACTGAGGTTTAAAACTCTTTTTTTTCTGTGACTCAAAGCATTTAATATACTGTATCTGTCTATCACCTACTGTGGTGATAGCTATTTGTAACAGACTATTTTATAAACACATGTAAGCAGTAAAAGAGTGTTTTCTAAATGGTGGGTTTGGACCCTCAAGGTTGGATAGTAGGACTGGATATTACGGTCAGTGTCTTTATCTTTCACAATTTTACACAATCCTGCAGATTAAACGGTTATTTTTAAAGTCTTCCTGGTCACTAATGCAATTCAGTCATTTCTTCTTCCTGCCCTATCCTTCATTCTCAGACAATTTAATTAAAATTTTGCCCTTTTCTTACTTAGTTATGCCGTTCACAGACATGTGCAGCTGAAAATATGACCTCCTTAGTGGAGGAGATTAAACTGAAGTAAGAATCTTCTTGTAAAGCGCAAGGTCAAAGCAGCCAAACAGCGGATAGACAGACATAGAATAGAACAACCAAAGGACACAAAGCTACGTGCTTCTTTGATTGAATTTGTTTTACATAACTCCGGTAATGTACACATGAGCTGGGAAATGCTACAGTCTCTATGTCCCTGGACAGGTCTAGATAAAAGACGGATGTGTGACTGTCTATGTGTCTCAGGAGTGTACCTCTACATGCTGATATGCTGTAAGGTGAAATGAATCTCCCCTTTCATAAAACCTACTTGAAGATGTAAATATATTTTCTTGAGGAAAAGAAAATTCCACATGGAATGTTTGCAATCAAGTATGCATGTTATTGCATTTTGTAAACAAAGAGCATAGTAGCTACTTGCCTCCAAGGGACACTAGAAAGACAGTTGTAACAGCCAGTTCCATGATTTGAGTGTGCTGCTTCAACATTATTGCTTTATATAAATCCTGTCCTATATCTTGCTCAGAAACATTTCACACGAACAATTCTGCACGCACAAACAATTCTAGTCTCTTGGAGACTAGTAGCTGCCCAGAGTATATTAAAACAAATACATCACAAGACAATCTTATCTGAGAAAAGGGTTAATTGTTAGTGTCCAGCATGGATGACTCTTTTAATGCTGTATTAAATATCACACAGAGCTATGGACCCGTCCACCTCGACATAGTGCCAAAATATTAAATAAAAAAAATTAAAAATACATTATTGCTTAAAATAAAATGCACACAAGTGTCGTAAAATACATTATGTGTATTTTAAAGTGTTAACCTTGACAGCCCATTTCACGTTAGCCTTAGTCTTAGCTTTGACTAAATTGTATGTTAGTCTTAGTCCCAAATTCGTCAATTAAATTGTTTTTGATGACAATATATCAATATTTATTTTAGTCGACTAAAATGTGACGTGAAATATTGTATAAAATCTTAACAGGGCATATATTTATATATGAATAGTAGAATTAAAATGTTGACGAAGTTAGCTTACAGTTAATGCAACAAGAACTTCGCTGTGCTTACCATTCTGTCTCATTTGCCGCGAGCTTCTCTCACATCGTTGTTCCACACGACGTGTCTTGTTTTCACTAAAAACTGTTTTCACTTATAAGTAAAATAAGTCAATATGTCATGTTTAGTCATTTAATTTTCGACCAGCTTGTTCCCGCTCCTGAATTCGTGCCGTCGTCTGTTCTACTACCGAACATTAATTCGCTGTGATTGGCTCTTCATTTAGATGTCCCGCCTTGTAGCCAGGTTCCGATTGGTTCTCGTCCTAATTTGCTTCTCAGGTAACGTAAAGCAATCAGCGCTGATGGGACTTCCTCCCTGCCTGATTCTATTTCCCGTCTAGTGTTTATTAGATGACTGATGCGTCAACAAAACTGACATTTAATCCCACATAATGTCGTATTTATTTATCGTTCTACATTTATATTTCTTAGAAAAGAAGGTCATTGACCATGTGATTCATAAAAAAAATAAAAATCGACAAAATGATCACTGTGCACACGTGGTTTTGGTGACAGAGAAAAGATTACATAATGCCATTATTTACTTGCATAAGCCAGACGTCTTTAAGACTCAAAGCTAAGCTTAACTAAAGTAAAACTGCCAACCTTAAACTCACACCTTGCCCTATATTCCTATCAGGGTTTTTTTTATGAAAGAGTTACATTATTCAAAGTGACTTGACTTGGTAAACGTTGTCACCCATTATTATTATTATTATTACTATTATTATTATTGTTGTTGTAAAGGTAACTTTTGAAGATTTCCATTTGTGGTATCACAAAGGCATTCGTGTGGATTCCTAGGACGTTTACAGACCTTGACAGCTCTTGAGAAACGAAACGTCATACTTTAGTTTTAATAAATGAAATAAATGCCGCTGTTTGTCAACACGCTTCTTCCAGTACTCCAGCCTGGCTGGCTGTTACAGGACTGGTAGTTTTGCGACGGTCCCTGGCGGCAGACATCAGGACTCGCTCAGCCCAGGGGAGGGTTGGAGCTGAGATGGACAGGGAGGGAGACACCGGCTTACGACGTCAAAGGAGTCCACACACACACACTCACACTCAGATATACACAAGGAGAGGGAGAGGACAAGCCAGCAGACTGACAATTCCCCACGGTCTCCTGAAGGAAGCCAAAAATTCCAGTTAGTCTCAGCGCTCTTTCCTACAAGCCAATCAGAAAACTGTTTGTTAGTATTTATTTTTTATAATTACCATCATCAGGTTGTTAGATTTTATTTGTACAGGGAAGAGAAGCGGCAGGAAAAAAAGGAGAAGCAGAACCAGGGGAAAAACACGCTCATGCCGAATAAAGGACCGTGTGTGGACGCACTTGTAACCGGATTAAAAGACCAATGAACTGAATGATAGAGAGTGAATAAGTGAAGAAGAAGAGGAGGAGAGAGAAGAAAGGCGTCCACTGCTTCTGAGCGATTCTCTGCCATCAACAGCACCACAGGTACGATGAGAGATGATGATGATGATGATGAAGATCATCATCATCATCATGTATTTATTTATTTATTTCATTTCACTCCTTTCTGTTATGTTGTGAGTTTGTGTGTGTTTTACTGTGGGCAGATGTGTAAAAAGGATGTTGGGTCATTGTTGTTGACAAAGAGAGCTCATGCATGCAGGACTCCAGCTGTGCTCACACACACGCACGCACATATACACATTGGCAGATCACAGTCCGGATTCACTAAATACACCACGGGATGGTTAATGTTTATATTTATGCATATGTTCATTTATTTTCTTCACTATAATTTAGCCCTAAATCTACAATTCCGTCTGCCCCGACAAAGAGAATAGGTCATAACTTGAGCTGAATGACTCATGAATATGTATTCTGAATATTTAATGTCAACCTAAAGATGATTAAAGTTATGAGACCGTAGCATTTCTTTTATTAAAACGTGTCTGCTTGATGCAAATAAATGCTAATGCTGTTTGGAATCAGGTCCAAAAATGTGTTATAATTCTTTTCAGTACCTATTAAATAACATCACATCTCAGTGCTGTGTAGTAAATTCACAATTAAATATAGCTGCTGCTCAGAAATAACGCATTTGACAACACATAGCAGAGGCCAGCCTAATTTGTTATAATGAAATGACTCAACACAATGACGCTGAAAGTCCTCGATGATTTGTTATAATAAAAACTCATCTAGATCTAATAAAGTAGGAAAAATGGGGATTTCAAGCAGTCATAACAAATGTGAGCAATGGCTAGCATTTGTCTTTTTGACAGAAATATCTTGTGTTGGACACAGTGAGTAGGTAAAATGATTCTTACAGTATTAAAGCCATATATTGATAAATAAGTCATTAACAGTGGGGAAATAATTGTAAAATCAGTAAAAAGATATAATTTCCATTGATATCCTTATATATTAGGTTTAGTATTTTACCTTTCTAGCTTTCTATTTCTCTTTACTTCAACAGGCAAGTCTCACTTAGTCACTGTGTCTAATGGAGTTACGATCAAAATTAGCAGCAAACACAGCACAGACACTGTCAGTGCATCTTGACTGACAAAAAAAAAAGCATCTCATTCCTTGGTGTCCTCCGTGTTAATTTTACATAATAAACATATTGGCAGATTATTAATAATTTGGTCATCATTAGTTTAAATATTTAGTAAAAAATAGAAGTAAAAAACATCTTACGGCCCTACAAAATGAGCTAGTGGACCGTGTCAAGCCCTCTGGCCACATTTTTGACACCATGTCCTATATTTTATCATTATGATAACTGATCTGACCGTTAATGATGTGTTATGTATGATGTAATATATATATATTACTAGGTACAGAATTGTTTTTTTTTGAGGAGAGGTCGTAGACGGTCCCTATGTGCAGTGGGTGTGTTACATACACTAGGTAGCGCTCAGGACACCGTCTGTTTGTAGATGAAAGAACGGGAACACGATTCATGTATTGTTTTGCTCTGAATGGGGACAGCGGAAAAAAATGAGTTTGTATAAATACCCACGTGAACTGTATCAATGAAATCCTGGCCACGTCTTACAGTTTGATGGATCTCAGCTTGTTTATGGACCAGGTTGTCTTTCTTCTCGGGGCTAAAACTAAATTTCTCTTCCCTCTCTTTGTTTACATCAAAACAATGTGCAAATTAGGGAAGGCAGAAGGAGGGGGGAGCGGAGGGGCAGCACTGCCATCACAAAATGTGGAGTAAAGATTGGGGGCTCATCTGATTGGCTGTGCATTTAAATGACCGTGTTTGACTGTATGGTTAAGATAAGGGATGAATCCAACCAAGTGTTACTCCTTTGTTTGGGATCACCTGATTTAAAAAAAAAACAAAAACTTTATCGATATATTGCTATTTTTATATTTTTTCCTCTTTTCTGCATTGCCATCCAGGTTGGTACACTCGTCCCTTTGTCTAAATGACAAGTCATTGATGACGGCCAGTGTGATTGAATTTAGTCAGTTAGTTAAACGTGGAGCACCAGGCCGTAGTCCATTTCCTGCAAGGGGTTCTGCATCTTCAAAAACCTGCTTCATGTGTTGGGGGCAATCGTAGAACATTACTTTTTTATATAAATATAATCCTATTTACCTTGGTGCCAAGTAGTCTGGAATGTAAAGCTCAGTGATCAAATAGGGCTGTACACCTCTGTCAGAGCTTTGTCAAATTTAAACACTGTAAACTTCAAGGACTTAATACATGATGTGGAAGTGAATTATTTTGCGTACTCTACCTTTAATGTTGTTAAGGAAATTCTGTCTTATGTTTTGTTGTCCTCTCTTTGACCAGTCATTAAATTGAACTATCTCGAAAATCTTCACTGTCCCTTTAAATCGACTGTTTCTCTGATGGTGTAGAAAATATTAATTCAATCCCACTGAATGTTCCCATCTGCACCTCCATCCGCGGCCTCCTGTTTGCACCTCCTGTGCAGTGTGAATTCAAGCCTGCGGGCTCCTGTCTGCTTCTCGTGACCACCTCCTCCACTCTCTGCTCCATCTCTCTCTCTCTCTCTCTTTATTTTACCATGTGTGTGTTCATGTCTGTTATTCATTTCGTCTTCTACAGACTTCTCAATGAAGGAGCCTGACGCAATCAAGCTCTTCATCGGGCAGATCCCCCGAAACCTGGAGGAGAAGGACCTGAAGCCCATCTTTGAGCAGTTTGGAAAGATCTACGAGCTGACGGTGATAAAGGACAAATATACAGGGATGCACAAAGGTAAGGGATAAAAAAAAACTCTCTTTAGAAGACGAGCTGCAGTCTGGGGAAAAGGTGGCTGATTTATTTAATGGCATCAGAGAGCAGGGAGCGCAATACATTACAATAATTACAATATAGTTACGCCTGATGACTGATTCTCCTGGAACTATATCAGGCTCTTTCTCATTTAGCACTTATCTCTCGGGGGCCTCTTTAAACCGCCCTGCGAGGCTGGGAACAAAAAGGATTGTTTCCTCGCAAATATTTTAGTCAGACTTCTCGTCTTCCAGGAAGAACAAAGGAGCTTTGAATTAAGTTTAATCATCGTGCTAATGAGTCATAAGTATTTCTTAAACAAATCAACAGAATCTCATTCGTCATTCAGGGCCCTGAAAGCCCAGAATAAACATTTGTATTCAACAAGTACTACTAAGTATAATACCTGAGATCGTCTTTGTCCTCTTCTATGTGTGACTGCACTGTGATTGTAATTTCTCATTGCTATGCTTCACCAGCTACAGCCTGCTCATCATGACTTATGGACATGAGGAAACTCTGTTTTCTGCCACCAGCCCCTGGATTAATTGCTAACACAGCCTTGAACCTTTTCTTCTCTGCACTGGAGAACAAACTTAATGTACAGTGGCAGAGCACAGCAGTAACACTAGACTTGAGCACACACATTAAATCTCCCATAGTGCCCCGCTGTCCTAACTTTCTTCAAGGGCTCTATTTAACACCGTAAGAACCTGTTAGCACCAACCGCTGTTCATGTGATGCTTCAGGAAGTTGATGTAGTTTAATCAGAGTTTCTCAGCATCTATAAATCATTGTAGCTCGTTCCCTTCACAAAGAGCTACACTTTAGCCAAAAAGGCTACTAATTTTAATCTGACAAATACCTCAATGTGAGCTAAAAAGCTAAAGTTAGCAAAGGTGGTTGGAATTATTTTTCCAAATCCTCTTTCATCATATTGTATATGAGAGACATTCTCTTTAGACTAGTGCATGTCAACCTTGATCCTGAAGTACAAACCTTTGACACGTCTTACTATTACTTCAATAAATTACAAAACAAAGCATCCAAGTAAAAAGATGAATTCATGGGCCTGGATTCAGAGCCACACGGGGAATAATGATGACCACACAAATCAGTCAAGTCTTTGAGGGCTATTCTGGAGGCAGACGCTCACCCACAGCCTCGTGTGACAGCTGGAATGAAGTTCTTTAAGTGATCCAAACTGAACCATGATCCTCCACGTCATTTCTAATGCAAATAGGAGCTGAGAAAACAAAGGCTTTTCTTCATATAAAGCATCAGTCACTGGGGAGACGTATAGGTGCAGGTGGCAGCGGTCCTCTGACACCTACAACACCTATTCTGCATACATCTCCATATTCATGATTGGAGGGGGCCCTAAAGGTTAATGAAGGCCCTTCTCTATTGTGTGGCACTGCATAGGTTCTGCTTAAACAGCATGATATTAAATACTCATTCAGACTGAGTCTGGGTCTGGATTCTTCCCAGGTATTATGATTTAATAATCCCAAAGATGGGTTGAAAAAAAATGGACGTTGTGGGTTGTTTTTTTTTTAATTTGTTTTATCCCCTTTGGCCTCATCTTTTTAAATGCAGATTTACCTACATGTTCATAATGACGGCCTGATTAAAGCCAGGAGGCTGTTTCAAAATTTCAATGCTCTCTCTGAAAAACACGGCATAAATCCCATGCACGTACAGTGAAGCAGATGCATATTTATGACAGGACACTTCAGGGCAAACAGTCAATTAAGATTAGGTTAAAATCACATGATGATGTCAAACCTCAGACTATGTTGAGAAAAAATAAAACAAACAAACATGCAAGGTCTTAAACTTGTCTCCGTTTGTCTCCAGGATGTGCCTTCCTCACATACTGTGCACGTGAGTCCGCCCTCAAAGCCCAGAATGCACTGCATGAGCAAAAGACACTACCAGGGGTGAGTGCTAAACCTTTTTTTTTGTTACCCAATATCTTCCATTCGGATGTGTTTCTATTTAGGAAAATGTGTTTCTCTCTTTTATACAGAGCAGGATATTTTCAAATGAATTGTTTGAATTGGAAGCTTAGTCTGTATAGGTTTTCATCCAAACATAGAAAGAGAAAACTGCAGTCGTTATTTCATAGTCTTTGGTTCCTTACACTGATTTTCTGTTGGGTTTGGGTCAGTCAAAAACATTCCTTCCATCATTCTCCCACCTCTGTGTTTCTCTGTGTTTTTTTTGTTGTTTTTTTTTCCTCTTCCTAAGCCTTACTGTATTAAGGTCAGAGGTCAGAGACCGAGATCAAATCCCAGCAGTCATTGGACAGATCACCAGGCCAAATAGGGACAACCAATCATTCACATTCACATTCACACCTATGGTCAACCTCGAGTGAACATCAACATAAAAAGACCGTCAGCAACCATCAAACTGCTGATCTTCTTCTCTAAGACCAGAGCTCGAACCACCCTTCTGCTGACTCAGCAACGTTTATATTTCCAAAAAGTTCTAGTTTCGTGGCGTTTGACCAAATACATGCCTCAGTCACCGTCATAATTCTCCAGGATGTCCCTTACAAACGTAGGTAGGTGTCCCCTCTAATGGAAATATATAAACTCATTTCCTCTTACATAACTTTATTTGATTACTGCCTGACACTGCCTGGAACCATTTCGGATATTTTTTTTAACTCTCTGAATGGATTAATTTCTTGCAAGAATGGAGCTGACAACACAGTCCAGCAATCTGCAGGGACGCTGAGAGAAGAAGTCTGTGATACAAACGATGATATAGACGCTGACACAGACGTGGGCGGGGCTGGGTGTCCTTCACTGGGCAGGAAGGCCTGAAACACCTGGTCTCAGAACAGATTAGGCTGACGTGCAGGAAGTAACTAACGAGCGGGGAGTAACTGTGGGCGTCTGTCACACAAAAGCTTCTGCTGTTCTAAGCAGATCAACAGACATGAAGAAATGGTCCAAGGCAGCTGCGGTGTGGGATGAAATTATTTATGTTTTTCATCACGACCTTTATTCTACCACACGTTTTTTCGGTCTGTCTTTCTTCGTGTCTTTTATAATTGATAACTTTTCTAGTTTCTGGTTTAAGTTTTTTTTTTAGTTTTTGCAATGATGAATCTGGAAGGTTGATGGTTCGATCCCGGTAGTAACTAATGGTCTTTGGTCTGGGTTTGTTCACTCACTCACTTTGAGCGTGAATGGTTGTTTGTATTTATATGTGGCCTTCAATGGGCTGCTGCACCGATCAGGATGTAGCCCACGTTTGATCGATCCTGGTAGGACAGGCTCCGACTCCACACTGACCCAAAGTATTAAACACCAGAAGATGAATAAACCAAGGGTTAAATAGGTCAAAGGTTGAACCTTGAACTCACTTCTATGAGAGAGATCAACCTCAGTTTTAATGTTTGGTTCAATGTTGTCAACGTTTTTTGACCTTAGTGTTTTTGCTGTAAGCAAAGTCAGACAATGTGAGCTTCCTAAACAAGGCCAAAGTGATCAGAAATGCTCGTTCTGTGCTCCGTCTGAAAGCACTCGGGAAATTTTCTCCCGGCTAAATTGTAATGATTTTGTCCTGAAGTAAATACAGAAGTGGGAGCAGAGTGGCTGACATTCAGGGTTGAACGTCTGCATCTGCGAACACACACACACACACAGTGACACAGGGAAAATTAACAGAGTTTGACATGTTAGCCCCCCCACACCCGCCCCGCCCCGCCCTTCCTCCCTTTAGCTGATGTGCTCCAATAAAGGTCAAAAAGCTGCTGTCTCTCTTATGTTTCATACGTGATGCATCCAGACATATCCAAGCAGCGCAGGCATGAGTCATCTCGCTGTGTGTCACGGGTCGGAGGAGACAGCTACGAGGTTGTCTTCTGCAGTGCCAGTTCACTTCTCTCTGATCTTTCTCCTCTCCACCTCTGAATCCTAATCCTGGTTAAACCTAGCTTTATTAGCATAGCCAGGCAGCAGGTGTGCTGCTGCCAAGTGACATTTCCAGAGCTGGATGTGACATGACAGCCGCGTCTCTGTAATAACAAGACTGTATGAGAGACAAGGCGACAAGGCAAGAAATAACTGAGACTCTGTGTGTGTGTGTGTGTGTGTGTGTGTGTGTACCCAGACCTGCTCCTGCTTCCTCTTTTACTAACAAGCCCTTAACCCTGTTTCCCTTTTGGTTATTTTCGTCCAAACCTACATTCATCATTATTCATTCTTCTCTTCCTCCTGAAAGACAGACCGTGGCTGTAGGTTCACAGGGAAGAGCGCGATGATAAAAGACAAGCAGGCGTCCATGATAAAACCACAAGCACACTGTGTGTAACATGTAGGGGGAATTAACACGACTGATGTAGGCTATACAACAGGGCCATAACTGAAAAAGACAAATACATTGACTGGTGTCCTAAAATATACAGTCAGACTGACTAACAATGTGGTGAATGTTCATCTATTAGGCTGCATGTTGTTGAAGGACTGAAGGACTTTAACCCTGCGACCCATTTTTGGGTCACAACCCACTATTTGAGAAACAATGATAAAAAAATGTCACATTTGGTGCAACGGAGAATTTTGGCTTCACGCTCACTTTAAAAAGCTGTAGTAGATTTTTATTCCATCAAACACGGCAGCATTACTGAATAGACAACATGAGTGAGTTTAAAAACAGACATCTGAATAATCAGTGATCCCAAAATGATTTAAAGTCCGCCTCTGCTCACAGCCATCTCAGAATAAAGATCTGCTGCTGACACACTGTCACCTGCAGTTTCCACCACCGCTGGGCACTTTATTGACCAACCCGGGGCTGCAACTATAGAGTATTTCCATAGCCGACTAAGCAGATGATTACTTTTTCAATGAATCCATATGTGTTTTTGAACCATTCAAACGTAAAAACACTTATTTACAAACGACAGTTATTAAGGAAACCTGTCTTTAACAGTCATTAAAAATAAAAAGGTCATGTGGCTGTTAAAAAGAATCTGCAGACTAATTCAATAGCAGATAAAATATCATAAAGCAGATAAAATATCATAAAAGATCATAAAATAATGGACCAATCGCTGTGGCTCTAATGTACTGATAATTATTCATAAAATAATGGACCGATCGCTGTGGCTCTAATGTACTGATAATTAAGCAGCAGTTCTTTAATGATTGATAAATGGTGGGAATAATGATTTTTCTCCAGCGTTTCTTTGTCGCGGAATCTGTGAACTGCATCTTTTATTACTCGTGGACATTTTATAGATCCACCGTCCAACGCGAAGACAAAGAAGCAGGTGACAAGCTTCACCCCGGCTGTTTTTCCTCTCTGTAATCACTGATCAATTTTTTTGTCAATCAATGAGTCACTCCAGCAGACACTGCAGGCTGCAGGGACATTTTGAAAGAGCAGGGCTGGTATTAGGGTGGCAACAAACCCAATCCCATTGTTAGCGTGACAGTAGCATGACTTTCTTGACCTCTCGTAGGGGATCAGCAGGATCTCGGTTCCCCCACGGCTAAAGCCCTCTTCCCCCCACTGGGGTAGAAACACAGCCTCTTACCTTCTATAAGCTTTGGGAACACGCTCCCGAACCCTCCCCCCACGGCTACAGGACAAAAAAAGACAAAAAGCATCTTATTAGCTCCACACACGCCCACATAGACAAGAGCCGCTTCCCCTCCTGCTACCAGCTGTGGTGTAATTGTCATCTAATTGCACCTGCACTGCCAAAGAATAATTAACTTTGGCATCTCATGGTCGGGGCGATACAAAAGAAATAACATAAAAGCAATTACAGCAGTGAGAAGAGAGAGAGAGAAAGAGAGTGTGTGTGTGAGAGAGGGTGAGAGAGGGAGAGAGAGGGAGAGATGAAAATGAAAGCACACCTGAATGTAGCCAAAGCTGAAGGATGTCATTAACACTCAGCTCTCTGCTTTTTCTTTTTTTAGTTTCTCTCCTAACAGTCAGGCTCACAGCTTTTTTTTTTGATATTTCAAAGAAAAGGAAAGGTGTGGTGACAGAGGAAGAGAGAGAGAGAGAGAGTAAACAGATGGTCAAATCCGAGAGGGCACCTGGCCTTGTATTTAACGTCAGGTGAAAAAGAGGAGGAGAAGAAGCATCAACAGCACATTCAGCCGTGAGTGAGGTTGGAAACTGAGAGAATCGTGGAGTTAGAAAAACAAAAAACAGCAGCAGGAAGAGTTCAACAGATAAAGAGAAGACGTATGTGTGAAAATGGGGGTCGTGCAGTGAAAAACAATTAGCATGAGCTCTGGTCTCCTTCTATTCAGCCTGGACATCTTGTTCTGTCGTCCTCACGGCTCGTATCTCTTCATCTGTGTGCTGTGTCAGGCTAACGTCGTCGGCTCCCACGTACAGTCCGTATAAAAATCGACTCAAGCCCATAAAAAAAAGCGTGAAACCGAGATCATTTATTCTTTTATTATCTCCAGTGTGACTTTATTCTGTATATTTCAATTAAAAAGGCAGAATCTATTAAATAAAGATACATAAAGTGATATCATGTGGCTGCACAGAGTAGCTGTTGCATCAGGATTTTTTTTTTTTTGCACCTTACAAAAAAGCCGTGGTTTGCAAAGGCTCACAATAAAAATAACAAAGCAATTAAAGCTCTGAAGAGGAAAATAAAAACAATAAATTCCAAGTTAATTGGGAGACAGTAAAGTCAGCGTGATGTAAAGAAGATACGGCGCCACAGTGGCAGTACACAGAACTGAGTATTTTCTGGAAAGACATCAAATAAACCCTAAGACTTACTGGTAGATACTAGGACCAAAATCACATGTAGTCTGGATCTGTGTGTACTACAAGAAATGGTTACCAAAAACACAAGAGGTGTGGATACAGACTGCAACAAACCCCAGTCCAGTCCAGTCCAGTCCAGTCTAGTCCAGTCCAGTCCAGTCCAGTCCAGTCTGGTCCA